TTAGAGAGCTAAAGCTTAGTCTATATTAAAAATTATAACTATGTAGATTTTATAATCTAGTTATTAAGCTAGAGTTATAAATAGGGCAGGTTCTATATAGCAAATGTCTATCTGCTGTTTAAGTCCTAGTTTATGTTTAAATTAAGTAAGTAAAATTTTTTTAAAAGCTTTTTCTTTTTTAAGTTTAAGTAGTTATTAAATTATTTTATATAGCTTATCTTAGTAAAAGGCCTAGCTTATTAGCCTTACTTAAGTAGTTCTTTTCTAGGTTATTAAAAAGTAAGTCTAAAAACCTTTTATATTAAGTGCTACTTAAGTATTATTTAGGTGTAAGTGTAAGCATATGTTTTAGCATTAAAAAGAGTTAAAGTTTAAAACTTACTTTTAGTAATTAAAGGCAACTTTATACTAATATAGCTATAGTTATTTTAGAATTAAGTTATAATGTTTTATGTTTATTATATAGAGCTTAATCTGCTTCTTATAGTGTTAGTAAGTAATTATAATAGTTATAGTATAAGAGATAGAACCTTTTTTAAGTTATTTTTTATTAAATCTAGTTAGGTAAATTATTTAGGTAAGTAGTGTTAATTAAAGATTTAGTTTATGCGCTAGTTCTTTATTAATATAACCTATGCTGTTTACTTTTAAGTTAATAAAAGCCTATATTAGGGCTAATATAGTTCTTTATTATAAATATATAAGAATATTAACTTAGTACTTTTAGTTATTAGTAGGGGACTTAGCCTATAAGTTAGCAAAGATCTAGTGTTAAATTAGTCCTAAAGGGCAACTTAGCCCTAGGACAAGCCTTTTTATAGGCTTCTACTGCTATAGCTGCAGCTATGTTAAGAGTAGTAAGAAGAATTAAAGCTTAAATATAAGTTAAAGCCTTTATAAAAATAAGATTAAAATAGTAAGAATTTTTAATAAGTGCTAGCAGCGCTACTTATATAGACTTAAAAAAAAGAAATAAAGTAGTTTTAAAAAATATAACTATGCTTACTACACTTAAAGTATTAACTTTTTTTTTTATAATTTTTACACTTTTTAGAACTAACTAAAGCATAATTTAAATTAATTTTTATTGCGTTAAAGTCCTTATTTATAACTACGCTAGTTTAAGGGTGTATTAGGGCTTGTACAGGGAGGAACCTTATGTTATTATTATAAGTAGCAATTAGGTTTACATATATGTTAAGGTTATTTAAGAGGGGTTCTCCTACTATAGCGCGTTACAGTTTAGTTAAGAGGGAGTTATATAAGGCTATAATTAGACCTATCTTATTTAGGCTTATATTAGATGTAAGTTAGTAGAACTTAGTAAAGTATAAAGTAAAGCTTTTTTTTTCTTATTATAAAGTGTTTAGGCAACTTAGAGCTGTTAACTTTTTATTTAAGTTTGTAAGGCCAGATGTCCTAGAACAGGCTAGTATGGCCTCACCTGACCTGTTTAGAGGTTGTATGACCTGTGCTTCGTATATAAGCATGAATCCTAACAAGCAAAGCTTGGCAGCGATTTGTCTCTCTTACAATACACTCCTATCTTTCTCTGAAAGCTTGCTCTTAGTGCTATCTGTGCTACTTACCATCCTATCTTTACAAAGTTTTTATAAGTTACTTATAAAAACACTATAAATTAATCTAGGTTAATAATATTTTTATTTATTAGTAAGTTAATTAAGGCTGTTACATTATAGTTAAGTTAAAAGTAGGCATATAGTAACTAAAAGTGTTTAAAGAGAAATTAGTCTATATTTCCTTTAAGTTTATATTAGAGCTTATATAAAAAAGAAAGTAGGTTTTTTTATTTTCTATTAAACAGTAAGGGATTAGAAAGTTAGTTAGATTTTATTATTAAGTTAAAAAAGTTATAAGTTATAAGCAGTGTTAAGTAGTAGAAAGTTAAGCTATCTCTAGACTTTTAAGTAAGCTTTAAGGCTAGTAAGTTTTTAGTTCCTACTACTATAACAAAAGTTAAGGCAGAAATAAACTACTTAATAATATAAAGCTATTTTTTAAAGTCCTTTTAAAAAGCTTTAAAGCTTATAATATAGTAGCTTTTTTATAAAGTAAACACTTTTTAAAAGGCTTTTTAGCTTACTTTAATAGCTTAGAGTTATATAAGTACTAAGCTTATTAAATTAAATTTAGAGGCTATTCTTAGCTAAAGTTTTAACATAATATAATATTATAATTATGCATAAGTAAGGTTATAGAGCTTTACAGAGGTCTAGTTTAATTACTACATAAGGTATTATAGTAGGTACAAGACATTATGTAAGAAATAAAAAGGTTTAAGAGAAAATTAGTAATTAAATACTTAGCTTAAAAGTCTAAGCGCTTTAGGTATAAATTAAGCCTGTTTTAAGTTTAGTTAGTGTTAAGGCAGTTTATGCTTAAGTTTATGTCTATGTTGTGTTGTGTTTATGTCAGACGTGCACTAATAATACTCTAGTACGCGTCTAATACAGTTATGTCTGGGATCTAGGGAGGATACCGTGACACTAGTCTAGCCTAAACCTCTATAATCGAGAGAAGGCTACGTAGTTAACTATGCCTACCTTGTTATAAGCTTTAGCTAGTTACTACTACTAGTAAAGCTTTTTTAGTAATTAATAAGTTAAATTAAAAGTATAAAAAGCTTTACTTTACTTATAAAAATTATATTTACTTAAGATTTTACATTTATAAGTAAGACTTTATAGTGCTTAAAGTAAGTAGTAACTTAGCACTAGTACTTAAAGTTTTAGCACTTACTATTACTATAATACTAGTAGTAGTAGAGTTTTTTTCTAGTCTTTTTATATAGCTATATTTTATAATTACTATACTACTTTTATTTTATTAAGTAGCTGCTAAGTGTAAAGATTTGCTTAAATCGTTCTATTTAAAGTTACCTAGCAAACCTTATATCTAAAGGTTCCTTGTATCTGCTCCGACCCGGCCCTGCCCCCTGCTGTACCCCTATTCCCCCAAGCATTTAGTCGCACCTCTCCTCTTAGCTAGCTTAGTGGTTTTCTAATATCCTTTTATACAAGGTCTATAGGTGTTAATGGGATTCCCAGGTCATTGAGTCCCCACGCACTCCTATATGCCTCTAAGTGGATTCCTACCGCATTCGGACCCATTGTCTTGCCTGTGCCGTTACAACTATAAGCATGTTATCTACTCTTTAGTAAACTTTATAGCTTTTAGTTACACCTTTATAGCTTTTTAACATAGCTTTATTACTTTTTTATATGCTATAATAGCTGTAGCAGCTGCAGTAGTAGCTGCTACCTTTACTATAGTTATAGAGAGTATACACGCCCTCTTTAGCCTCTTTATAAGCATACTAACAGACTATAACACTAAAAACATATTAGTATAGCTTTTATACACATATTTATATAGTGTTAAGTTATACTAATATTTATTAAATAGTTATTATATAATTTTAATATAAAATAAGTAAATTTACAGTTTATGTAGAAGTTTATACGCGTGCAGGGAAAATTAATGTGTTGCTAAGGAATTTCACTAATTTTTGCACTAGATCTATTATATGCAAAAATCAGAGCCTTTCTTAGCACTGCCCTCTAGAATTTTCCCCCCCTTGCCACGATCGGCATGCTCAAGCTACAAGCAAGAGGTGGTGTAACCCAACTAGATTAAACTAAGGAGCAGAGAAGCTGCTCTGCGAGTTGAAATATACATGTGCTCCCTGCCAAGGCGCTACTCGTCGCGCAAGCGAGGGAGCTGAGGCCGCAGAGCATGTGACGCGGTACACGCTGTCACACCCCTACTAAAATTGTATAAGAGATTAAAATTTTAACAAGATCTACTATATATTAATAAAAACTTAATAGAACTGCCTTAGGTAAGTTAAAGCTTTTAGTTTGCATAAAAAAGCGTGTATACTAACTTTTTTAAGAGTAATAGCGCGTTAGGTTATAATGTATTATGCCTATAGCATCTCTAGCGTATTAGGCTTAGAACAACAGATAAAAACTATAGAAAAAACTTCTTGCTATGCTAGAGCAAGAAGAGCAGATTTTTTAGTAGCTTTTACTACTTTCTTAGAGAAAAGCTTGCTCTTTATAGGCGCTAGGATATAGTAAGCTTCTCCTACTTACTTTTATTACTAGGTTAACTAACAACGCGCTAGCTTCTGTTTATCACTACTAGCAGGCTCCTTAGGCTTCTCTAACAGGCCCTGCGCCCTCGCCTGCGTAAAATAGGTTAGTAGGTTGCTCTCTAGGTTAATCTAATCTATCTAGGGGGCTAAGGCTGCTCTAGCCCTCTAATTAAGCCTATTATTATCTTATTACTCTAAAAAAAGCGCTAAGAACAGTATTTTTATATAAACTTAAGGCTTTAACCTACTAATAATATTTCTAGGAAGAATTTGTTAATATATCTAAAATTCTATTAAAATTTAATTACCCTATATAATTTTAGTAAGGGAAAAAAAGATCTAAGGTACGCTAAGAAATGCTCTGATTTTTGCATACAATAGATTAATTAATCAGCATCCACCTTATCAGCGCTCTAAACACTTCTCGGCTAATGTTTTTGAATGCTAAACGGCACCTTAATCCCTTACTCGTTGGAGGCATCAAGCTATCCGCTCCTTAAACATGTCGTAATTCATACAGGAAAGTAAAGTCTACAGATGCCATCTAACTAACACTAGCTTCTTTGCGCTCTCCTTACAATGCTTCTAGTATCTCAACCCCTTGCTATCTCCCACTCAACAAGAATGCAGCCCCTCCATTACTACCCTGATTTGGCTTCAAATGTCGTACATATTATGGATTGTGCGGTAGCAATGATTTACAATCAAGTACAGTGAAATCCCCCTTTACGCCATGTCTCTGTCTGAGAATATGGTGGCGGAATAGAGAGGCGGTGCGCTGGCTGAGGTATTCTAAAGTTGGTGGCAATGGGCAGATTGTGCGGGTTTAAATATTTAACAATAACTAAATACCGGTTTTAACGTGTTATAAGAGACTTCATTAAGTTCCCGTAGTAGTTGCCTCAATATTGCTCTGCCTAAACATGTGGTGTTCCACTTAAGGGGCCTCCATCCCACAAGAACTCACCATGCTGGGAATCTTGGAAGATCTCACCTCACCTGGAAGCTCTCACTTGCGCCTTTGAGAGAGCCCTGCGTAAACCTGATGAGCAACCGGCTGCCTAACCTCCAAACTCGAGAACCCACAATGTCCAACACCTCGCCCATTGCTTGGTTCACGGACCATTCCCCATTTCAACCGCCGTTCGATCGCATCCGCCGGTTCTGCTTCTACACAATGACATGCAGCAGAAATAGCCGCACTACAACTCCCGGCCACAGGAATCCCCGGCCTAAAACTTCTTCGACCTAGAAATATCAACGCGAATAGCGCAGCAAAAGCGAGCGCCGTGACAGCAAGAAGCCCGGCGACAGAAAATCCCGATGTCAAAATATCCAGTTCCGGAACGCGGTCGACGCCGTACGTATACACAGCCGTTTGATTTCGAACAGTGTTCAATGACGGAGCGCCATTCGACTGGTAAGCTTCAACGCTGACCAGGAAAATAGTCTGGGAAATGAGCCAGTGGAATGTCCCTGATACGACTAGAAACGGGACACCGTAACGATATGGTAATTGAAGGAAGTAAGTTGAGCGTTGAGCGCCCTTGGGTTTGGATGAAACACGTAGGCCTTTGCGGTGATAGGCATACTGGTTCCACTCTTTAGCAAGGAGAAGCGAAGTTAGGATTGTGTTGTATGTGACGTAGATGAATGAGAAGATTGTTTGAGAGATGTTGGCTATAAGTGTGTTGCCGATGATGCCTCCAGTCCCTGCGGTTAGTGAACTGGGGTCGGCAGCGCCGAACCCAAAGGTGAATCCGAAGGTCCGGACATTGCCGAGTCCGTAGAGGAAGAAGAACAGACATACGATGAGGGCCGCGCCGTACCTAACAGGATTAGAAGTGGAACCGTTATCAAGAAGGCCGAAAAAATTAAGTTAAGGATATCGCAAGTACATTACACAACGCTGTCTGGTATTAGGAGATATGAACGAAAATCAGTCAACTTACAACAAAATGACTGATACCCATCGCTTCTTGCTAGCAGCTTTGTGCCATCTCTTTGGCTCCGAATAAAAGAATCGTGGGCCGGTCCCACGCTGCCACACTTCCTTCTCATGCTCAAAATCGTCCCTTGACATCAAACACATGCCCTCAGTGGTTGGATCAGGCTCTTTGATGAATGATACAATCGCATCGCCAATATTCATAAGCGGAGCCTCCCGTATTTTCCATGCAATACTAGTGAAAATGATCACCTTGACGGTGTTCATGATGATTACAAGAACAGCGATATGCACACTGAAGTGAATCTTACATTTCTCTTCAGTGCGTTCACTCAAGCAATGATCGATAAGATAACCTCTTACCGGCCACGTGTTTTGCGACTTTAGATTCGCCATCTCTTGTCGGTTGCATCTGTTGCACGTAATATCGCTGGCTGATACATTTGTTTCACAGACCCACCCAGACATGTCGCATCCAACCTGCACAGTTAGTCTAATAGAGTCTATAAAATCGCCGACATTCGGAGGATAAGGTGTCTGTGTTGAAGGGTGCTTCGCCCATGTCTCATTGATAACAAGAAAAAGGCTTCCATGGGAAGCTTGAAAGGACTGTGCATATGCCTCAATGCACTCGATGCGAGTAAGTTTTTCGAGGTGACCCGCTTTGGCATTTCTAAAGAGAGTGTCTGCGGTCGGGTTTGGTAACGACTCTTTCGAATCTAGCAACCGTTCTCGGATGATGAACCCGTAGTACTTATTTGCAGCCACTGACGAATACAGGGCCGAATTGTAGCTGCGATGCAAACAGTTAACAACGAGCAGGTCCAGATATTGGACCGGCTTACAACAAATGCAGAGGCAAAGAACTCAGCGCAACGCAGACCCAAAGTACAGAGCGCTTGCGACTGATTTTTGTCAAGTTTCGATAGCTTGGAACTCCAATATCCAGCCAAGTCATATTGGCGTGTGCCTTATTTATCTCTTGTCTCGTCGGAGCGGATAAGCACTGCCTGACATCTCTTTTAGAAACAACACCAGTTAAGCAGTGAAGTAAAACTTACATGCAGTAATTGCTTGCTCCTAGTAACACCGTCCCAAAAATATTGATCATCAAGTGAATTACAACATTCAGCCTTTTCGAAGTCGAGCAACTCCCTTCAAACACGGTACCTTGACCTCCTTGGATCTTATGAGTACTTATAGCCCACCCGGTGAGGGCGGAATTGATGATAAGTACAAGGAACGAACAGATGGCTCCGGCAATGATACCAAACCTCCACGAAAGTGAGCAGGCCAAGCATGACCGTAAGTAACTTCTCTTCCTGCTAGACTTTAGGGGTTTCGCGGGGAGAAGGCGATCGGTAATAACAAATTCTTCCTTTGGAATGGTCATCTGAACTGTTCCGAACAGGTTTATAAGACTGTGTGATCGTGAATTGACAGGGGGAAATGTTGGGAAATGAAGTCGAAGGGTGGAGGAAGGCTGAAATAGAAGAAAGGTGAGGGCGAAGTGATGAGTTCTGCATGGCTTGCAGGGTCCAAAATGCAGCACGAAGCAAGCTGTGCCGCAATCCTAGCTAGTGCCTTCGACCATCTGTAACCACGCTAAGGCATTATTGGCCAGTGCCTATACCTCTCTACTTACGATGACCACCTCTTGCGGTTATTTCAAGTCGGATACAGCTTCCCCACCATCCGCAATGCAGTTTCTATGCAAAACGCCTTACAAAACGCATTTTCCGCCGTATTCCAGCCACCTTGCACTTACATAATTGAAATCGAGTGAGTAATATTGTACGTAGAATTATATATAGAAGTGATTTTTCCAGTGCTGAGGCTACTAGGTCATACTCGATCCCGTAGTACTTCGGTATTTTACCTTTAAAGCGCAACACTCGTCGAGCCTTTCTGGGGAACTGCCAATATCTGATTGATCTTCCCTGGCTTAAGAAGCTTCCAGCAATCGTAAAAATACCGTACTCCTTCCTCTATAGAGTTGCATCTCTTAGTTGCAAACTTATCGCGGGAGGCCTTGATCTAGGTTTCCATGACCGATCTACCAGGGCACTTAGGAATCAATTACAGCCTCCATGGTTTTCTGGAGTCACTATAATTTTATAAGCACCATCGACGCCCTGACATAATATAACTCTCTCGCAACAGTTGCGTCGCGTAAATAGGGGGATTTTTGCTGAATATACCTTCTTGCGTTTATCTTGCTATTAGAGTTGTCTACGTCGTACGGCGTACCGAAGGCAAAGTTTTATCGAATTACGCAGTAAATATAAAACCACTACTTCTTCTTAACCTCTGTGGGATCCCTAGTTGTTTCATCAATATGCGCCTTCTTGTTGTTCTAAACAGCATCCTCCTAAAAGCGCTTACCCTCTCGGCGCTTAATGTTTCGAATTTGGTGAGGGACCATTACTTACTCTAATTGATATCGCCGCGCCAAGTAATGTCGCGCCAATTAACTCCATGTGATCGATGTATTAGCTAGGCTATACGCCAGCGTACACGGTCTCTCTAGAAAACCCTCGTCAAGGTTCTCTTTAACGGTCGTCTTACAGGTTTTAATGCCGGAGACGTTAGTAACATGCCATTGAATCGTTCAGGTCCAGAATTTATAAACCCTCAGAGAGCACTGCGCGTGTCACTTTGCAATCGTCGAGAGTGCTTTAAGCGTATAATATCGCTGGTGGTGGACTCTGGGCGCCGAAGACGTCGTGAAAGCAAGAGAGGGAGTGGTAGATGCCCTCTACCTAGCAAAAATAGGGTATAGAAAGTATGGAAGAGTGTTAAGGAATTTCTTGGCGCGGGTGCTTCATCTGCATATTCTGCGGGTTGTAGAAAGTCCCATTTTCATCCCATTTAATTATTCTAACAAATTTTAACGCAATATTATATCTTATTTGGGTGCAATTTGTATATAAAACAGATATATTGTTGGGTTGTTGAATTGCGTTGATGCTCGAAAAGTTGAGACTGCTGCAGAAGATATAACGGGTGCGGTGAAATTTCGAAAGCTTTAAAGGCGCTGAGTTTGTCTCTCACAACCTCCCCCCTACTTCATTGCCTCCAGCTAAAGTAATTAGCAAGGCTGCAAAAGCAAGCAACATGTTTCTGCTAGTCTTTCACACTAGTATGTAGAATTAGCGAAAGATACGGCTTGCTTTGCAAGTAAGGCATGCTCGTTATTGGTATCTAACCTATTGTGCATCTAGGCCACTTCTTTAAGAGATAATCACACCTACTAATACAAGACTATAGTACCGCACTCTGCTACTAGAAGACTAACTTCATCGTTTTATGAATCCGCTATTACAATATAGCCAGCTTATTATAGCTGCTATGCAGCGCCTGGATATTAATAAGCAGACCTTACAGTTAGCAGACTAGAGACGTGCAACTCTCTTAGTTAATTAAAAGGTTGTCAAAGGCCTGGAACAAAAAGCTAGAGCAAAAATGTTAAACTGGCAAGGAAGTTTAGAACAAAAACAGTAAGACTGTGCTAGGGCAAAGGCTTGAAACTAAATCAATTATTAGTTAAATGTTGAAGCACAGAATTAGTTGGAAAAAGCCCGGTCCTGTGTTAATAATTGGCTGGAAATTTCGAAAGTACGGAAAAGCAGAGTGTTGTACTCCCAATGTTTCCACTGCTCTTCAATTGCAAATTCTACCCAAGCCACAATTATCAACTCGCGTGTTGGGGTTCAGGTGTTAACTATCACCGGCAGCTCCAAGCGGGAAGCGTTGGCCGAGACCCAACCTTGCTACGAACACATCAGCAAAATGTTTTCAATGAGAATGTCACCATATCTACATGTCCCTTGTCTCAGTTACTCTTCCCCACACCTAGTTGCAAGTGTATTTACAAAATAGAACTGAAGGCCGGGCAACAAACCATAGGAGTTGCACTTATCACCACTCGGTAGAGTTCTATTTCGCCACGGGGCACGAGATAATCCCTTTTCAGCGCTCTAAAGCCTTAATCCTTGCGGAAATATGTCAGCTTGCCCGAACCGACATTCACACGTCAAAACCTGCAGTTCCAGGGAGTGGACACCGCTGGTTTTGGTTAGGATACATGCAACTGGCGAACTGGGATGTAGCAGAGTCGGCTTTTCCTCAGACTTATTGAGGTGTACTTGGAAAATATTAGCCGCAGCCGAGGAATCGAGGTTCAAAGACGTACTAGAAGCACTTCTACCGGTTGTCGACAAGTATAAAGACTAGCAATCGTCTGCGAACTGATCCTTCGCCTTCATCAATATATTCTACTTTGAGCATACTTTGAGCACTCTCAACTCTTCGAGCATCTTTAACTTTACTTCACGACGATCGAAATGTCCAACCAGGCAACTACCGAAGACTCGCACCCTAAACCCCAATCCGGCACCCTGGGTGCCAAAAGACCTCGAAGACTTCGCAGATCTCCAACGCTGGCCTGATACCACCGCCCCTGAAGCCTTTAAAGTGTCCGGCTCGTAGGGAATCTCTAACACCGATCGGGCTTTCGCCTTCAACAACAACTGGATCAGTGTACAAATGACACACGAATCGAACCGATGGGTTCCCGGCAGCACCCCCCTCATCAGTATCAAGGGTTTCGACATGCTCTCCCCTGACATGGAATCCATCATCCTTCAAGATCTCTCATTCAACGGACGCGGCTTTTACGTGTACATTTCCCGGGGCCCGTACGTGATCAGGGAGCTTGCGGACCCAGTGGTTGAAAAGCAGCCTCTGCGCGACATCGTCGAGAAGAATGAACATAAACACGAAAAGACGTTTACATATTTGTATCAAATGACGGATACCGAGCCGACGACGCTAACCGTCAGTGAGACTACAGACTTGAAATGTAGTGCTTCGTTTGAAGTTGGCGGGTTTGCTTTTGCAGTTGAAGCGAGCTTCGATCGCACAAATACCAAGGAGAATTCCAAATCTACTACCACTGAGGATTCGTTCACCGAGACGACGACGATCAACCATGAGTCAGCATTCAGGTACAAGACGTGGCAGGAGACGACGATGACGGATGAGTTGTATGGGTTAGACTTTGCTCTAGGTTCAGCTGTTGACAAAGATGGGAAGAAGATTGGTGGAATTGCAAATGCAATATGGATTGAGAAGAATGCGAGTGAGCAACATCTTCTCTAGAGGCTGACAGATTGGAACTAGTTCAAGTCAGTTGAGGAGCTGGGGAATTTTTCACAGACAGCGAAATATAGGGTTGTGGAGACAGCGGCTAAGACGAAGATTTGGACAAGTGATAGTGGTGAGGCGGAGCCGACGTTTTGAGGTGGGGAGGGGATGTTGCCAATAGAACCAGACGGACAGAACGCGGGAAGCAGGAAGAAGGAACGCAAGGATACAAATAGAGGTGAAAAAAATCTCGATTTTCTAGACACACGAGTAGAGGATAAGGAAGAATTGCAACTTGAACTAGATACTCTTCTAGACCGTAAGAGTGTTTGGGCGAAATTGAGATCCAGCCGGCCTAGGTACCGTTGTTCTTTGGTTTTGTCTATTTACGCTATGTAATGATCTTCCAACCTCTCCTCATTATTCCCCTCTTCCAAACTGCAACGGAGAATATCACGATGTCCTTAGAAAGATGAAACCTGTAGGCCTTTGCGGTGATGCTCTATGCCGCAGAAGGCCACAGGGGCAATCTGCTTGGAAATAGGTGAGTAAGATGCTCGTTTTCTACCCTATGGTGATTTTCTCCCTTGTTGCTCAAGTCCTTTGCAATATATCCAATTCCTGATAAGTATAGTGGGCCTCTTCTGAAATCCTACTATCTTTTCTCCTGTATCTATGTGCGCAATCTACCCTTCATCGCAGCCGATCACCACAAGTTTAGGAGTCCTAAAGGCCGCAATTTTTGTACATGAATCTAAGCGGTAACCTTCGCAGAATCTTATCCCACGTGTTCTGAAGTATTTCGAAAGTCAGGCAAGCAATCTTGCGAGTGGTGTCCCTTTCCGAGAGTCCGAAATAGGAAGAAGAGCGCTTTTCCCAATACCAATAAGGCAGTTGGCCTTTGCTAGAACAATACCATATTTCACCGACCATAGTGAAACTGAAAAACGTTCCTCTCGAATACGCTTCTAATTGCAAGCCTCTACCCTCTGCTTCCCCTTTAATTTTAATCAGAAACTAGTACATTTGCAATCAGATGAAGGATCCAAATATTGGAGATCGCAGATTTTGCATCCGTCCTCTACCTGATATTTGAAGGAGCTGCAAAACTTGTAGCCGTCCATCATCGGATCATTGTTGGTACTGAAATCCTTGCATGTGCTCTCGAAGTCGCTCCGCCAGTAAGTATTGCAGAACCTTCACCTGTTTGACTATCCTCGCATCACACAACCTTTCGAAGTATCCGATTATCCCCGGGGGTTTCGTATTTTGGGAGTGCTTAAGTTTACTCCGGTCTTCTTTTACAGCTTAGTTAACGTTTGACGCAACATTCGTTTGAAGTTCAGAACGGCGCTTCGGATTCCTAGAGTTAGCGGTGGTTTGTATGGAGTCCATAAGAATCTTGATAGAGAGGGTGACCCCTATCGAGTTCTATATTGCTGATATGAATGGTTGATAGCAAGGAAGGAGGGTATAGAGCAAGGCTGAGTAGTCGTTTGCCAATAATATTAGGGGTGATAGCGCCTCCTTGAGTGCGCAGGATTGCAGGCATGTAGGCTCGACTGTTACATCCGTATATTCTATGTTTAAATAGGGAAACATAGAGTCACTCACTCATCTCTGCAATATCTAAGCATGCCCGCGTGCCTGATGTGGAAGTAGCTGAAGTAGGGTGCTGGTTGTTTTGGAAAACTAAATCTTCAGTCTCTGCCCTTAATGGGAACTAGGAGCTTCGAATTTACATGGAACGACAACAACAGATGCAAAGCTCTGCAGAACGTGTCTCCTTGTGTCAAGAAGACATGGCGCTCTTGATAGCAACGAATTTTATGAGGATCGAAGCACTCTAATATTGAGTTCCTTACGCGGGAATGTATATAGCTAATTAAATTTAAACCCCCCCCTCCTAAGCTGCAAAACGGACAACCACGACCAGGGCCACGCTTCCCGTCTACCCTCCTATCGTCAGCATCACAATCCATTATCTTCACGAGCAGGAAAGCAAAAATAATGCTTATCATTACCCTCGCTTAAACTTTCCATTTGTAGCAGATAGTAATACTACGCGCCTCTTTCCTCCTCCCTATCTAGATTTAGGGTTTACCATCAATCCGCCACGTCGTCATTACCTCACTCCACAACCGATCTTGTTACCTCTTCTACCGGTCACACAATACCAATGAATCACCTCCTAAAACCCTAGTCTTTAGTCCGGGCTAGAAAAAGGCACGTTACGTGTGCGGTCGTATCCCATAAGAAACAAGAACACCTGCCGTGGTATATCTGCAAAACTCCCACTCCAATGTCACCCTTAAAGTTGAAGTAGAAAAATAAACAAAATAGAAAAGGAAAAGCACAGCCATGAGACAGGCGCGAAGCCTCCGAATCGAATCGGTTGTTTTGGTGAAACTCGCTTATCAGTCTAATTTGATATACTCCACCCAAGCCCAAACAAAGGAAGAAAAGCTGATTACAAGGCGGTAGGATGGTTTGTGCAAACGGCGAGATTCGATTTGATACGAGACGATAATGTTGCCAGATTGATGTGAGATGATAATAGGAAAATTGGCGACGGGCAGGCCGGCTGTCCGCCCACCACGAAAAAGGAATTACCACCATAGATCAAAGGCACTAGGAAGACAAAAGAAGAAAGCTGAAAGATATTGAGTGGCAGTATAGGAGGTGGTGGCAAAAATTGGCAGAGATCGAGTTGATAAGATCCACAGTTTGGCACAGCAAAAGAGGGTCGGCAAGGCGTTGGAACTCTTCATTCTATTTCTTCAGGAATCCCAAGGGCCTACAAGAGATCAAATGATAGTCCCTCAATGACAACCTTTTGTTGCGATTCGACGAAGATATCATGGACGTTTGTGAGGGCACCACCTTCGAATGGCGATATGGCGGTTAAGATCTTGCGGTCGTCTTGGTGAGGTGACACCTCTACTATTGTCCGATCTCTTATCTGCCGCGTGAAGGATATAGGTCGCTTGCAGTCGAAGTATGATGCGGTTGAAGTGGAGGAGAAAGAGGGAGCTGAGGATGACGTGAGTTTCGGGCCAGTAAAGACAGAGGATGGATAGCCGTGTTCGTTATAGATACAAAGGTCGGCCTCAGATGGGGCCTGTGACGGTACTGGCTGATTGGGTAAGTGGGGACCCTCGGCAAATGGATGCTTGACCTCCAGATATGAATTCCGACCCTCATCTTCTGGTGGGGTCGATTCCAATAGAAAAGATCCAGCACTTGATTTTTCGTAGTATCGTAGTATCGACGGAGCATAGTCACTAGCTTTGGAATCTTTCCTTGGTGGGTCTATATCTGGTACCTGTGGCGCCTCGTCGTCATTCTCGTCATCTGTTGAGCTCCATTCTGAGAACTGGCTGCGCAAGGGTGGTCTCATGGGAGGCAGCTCTAAAATTGATTCCATTTCAACAGGTCGCCTTGACCATGTTGGCGACTGTGGTGGTGTCCTTAATTGGGATGACAGATCCGGACAGGACCGTGGATATATGAGAGGATGAGCGGTTTTATATGAAGGGATTGAGTTAAGTTGAGACTGGATGAACTTGGCAAGGTTCGCGGAATAGTCTCCTAGAGGGCTAGTGGGGGATTTTTTGGCATATAAAGATTCCTGGGACGAAGGCAGGGTAGGTCCGGTTACTGTTGAGGTGCTTCGGTCGGTTACATTGGAAAGGGCCCGGGAATGGTTAAGACTTCGGTCATCGTCTGGTGCTTGGCCTTCATCCAACTGATCTTCTGACTGGTCTTCCGACTGGTCTATCACTGCAGAATCCTCGCTCAGATACAGCATGTGGTCCTGGTGTCTGATGGTGGTTATTTTATTCATGGCTGATCGGTTATTGCGCCCACGTCTCCTGTGTACGGAACGAGTGCGGAGAGCAGCTCGCCCTTCAGCCAGAATAATTTTTGCTTCGGCTGTCGAACATCCTAGGACCTCTACCATAGGGAATGAGTTACTTCTTTGCCTATGAATCCTCGGCCGTGGGCTGGCGGCCTTGGTCGAGGGCGAGGAATGTCGGGTTTCCATGCTCGTTTGGTGGCGGATCATAGTTCAGCGGACATGGCAGTAGGGTAGTAACTGGCCGACCTTTTGTTCTGCGACTGAAGAATTTAAGGGAGCGGACATCCAGATAAGGTTCAACGGCAGGTGGGAATTCCGTAGGTTTGAAGGAGTGGAAGAGAATAGAGTTTGCGGAGAGCAGAAAGGTAACCGGCCAAGGCTGCCAGAAAAGAAAACCGTTCGGAAGAAACGGAAAATGCTGGGCACTGATGGCTGATGACTGGGCTCAGTTATTGTTTCTGCCGGTCTGGACTCTGAAAATAGAATCTTAGTCCAAGGCGGGCAGCTTGTGCCAGGCAGAGGCACTACTTGGCCTAAGAGCGCATGACGTTGTTGAGCGCGGGTCTGGCTTGTTGACCATGGGATGTGGTTCTACCCTTGGACAGCTCAGGCAAGGCCCTTGTCGGTCGCGTTAACGTGTTCAGGGGTGCTTTGCCAGCCTCGACCAGTTCGTAACCCGCCATTCTGCCGGTACCCGCTAGTGTTTGGACGCCAGCAAGCCAATCGCACCTCCGAGAGGGGAGCACCATGGCGCTCGGCACCGGATGCAGTGGCGACGGCAGCGGATTCTTTCGTAAACCCACCGGAAGTGCAGGCTTCATCGGGCGATGGAGAGTACTCGAAAGCGTCTCTCAGCCCTGAGGAGCAGCTTTTCGTGGTCTGCCGTGTTCTGGAAACCATCTGGCCTGGTTGTATCAGCACGCGAAGGCATGATGAGTGGGTGACAGTGATCAGCTGTGATCGCCGCCGTCCTTGGCTGATAACCACAGGCTGTGTTTCTCCACTGCCTGATCAACCTGTCATAACCTCTGCCAGGATGAAATGGACAGAATTAGGGGTGCTGTGAGTGGCCACAAGGTCTGTTTACCCTAAATTGCAGTGAAAATCGATCAACGTTGTCCTCAACGCACGCTTCCCCGAGTAGGCGAGGAATGCTACGGGGTGGTCAACGATGACGACGGCGGGGCTGAGGTAGCAATGATCTCTCGATCTCGATATCGCGAAGGATGCGTTCGTTTCCTGGTGGTGCAGCGGGCGAGTGCATGAGACAAGCGCTAGACCAGCCCATCAATCAAGATCCAGGAACCCTCACTCAGCACCCTCGCAGCATGACCTCCAAAATGGACAATACACCGGACCGACAAGCAGGAAACGCATGACGGGCCGAATTTGTCGACGTTGGAGCCCTGGGAAACAAGGTTGTCAGCCGTGGCGCAGCAGTTTCTAGCTCAGAGCCAAGACTCGACTGCCGAAGCGATCCCTTCCTTCCCTCAAGCCCACTGTCGAAGCCCCGCCGATTTCTCATCACCTGAAACATCGCGCGATCAGCAGCCGAACGCCCTCAGGAGGAGACCTGCGGGTCTCTGACAATGCAAGGGACGAGCGGTTTCTTTATTAAGCTGTTATCTCGCAGACATAAGCCTTGATGTCGCGTGTGGTCCGCCGGATCCCTGATTTTCCTCGTTCTTACCCCTGGTTCTCTATTGCACTACTGCCAGAGTTGTAACTAATGATGCAGATAGCATATTCCTGTAGTTTCCTCAGTGTTGTCTGGCTCCTGATTACCGTGGTCATCAACCTAGTCCACCGTCGCCCACTGAGACACAACTAGACAGCAACCATGGAAGACCCTCAAATTCTGCTCCTCTATGAAGCCGTTCACACTTTTCATGGCAGGATGCGGACATTTGATGAACGGAGTGGCGTGACTACTAACTCATTTCTTCATATGGAACGTTCAGCTACGGCTCACACATAAATTAGCCATTATCACTACTTATCTTCGTGCTGGGCATGCAGTTTGGCAGTCACAAAATTTCACTACTCCTCATTACAGTGTTTCACTTCACCTCGCTCACCTCTCAACTTTCATAGCGATCCGGCCTACGACGTTGTCCCTACTGTTATCTGGGCAATAGCGCAAGTCAACGCCTATGTAGTACTCTCTTGTTGTCCGCTGCTGCGACCAGGCTTTGGCGCTAGACCCAAAACAACTCCCTCATATTCGAAGAGCGCAAATGTTGAAACGGCCCTCTTCCTCGATTCGAATCTCGATTCGCGTCGCGATTAGAGTTGACGACTTGGAGAATACGAACAGTCGTGGGCATGCAGTATTCAGGATAGCTTAGAGCTTCGGGATCCCCCAAGTATTCGGGGTAGGGATAAAGGCGTTGCCAGCTGACTTTTATGAGTGTAAGGAATTGTGAGACAACAGTATAGTTGGGTGTAGGAAGTCGTGTTTCCTTTATATTAGAATTCTATGAAGTAGTTTCATGGAATAGTCCTGTTATACCATATCGTACGTCTTACCTGTGCAGTCACTGGAAGGCTTTTCTGAAATCGTACATAGCCTAGGCTGGTAATGCCCCGACATGGAAAACCCATTATGGGATCATTGAAGGTTCCTATCGTACATGACCCGACTCAGACCGATGAAGCCCCGCTATTATAAAGCCGCCCTGGTATCACTAAAACCCTGGTATTCTACATTCCACCACCGCAAGGAACCCCGATGATCCCGGCTTTCGCAACACTTCCTTCCTAGTCATGTTGTTCCTCCTATCTACTTCTAATCCTCATCCTCTTCATCAACAACAACCCAGCTCGACCAACCCGCGCAGGTCAAACCTTTAACCTTCTTTCCCCTGAGCGCGACCACCTCTTGTAGACTGCCTACAAAGGTTGGTCGTCCTCCAATTCCCAATTGTCCCCACCCGCCTTCGCCCATAGCGAATACAGCTCTCTCTCGCCCGCGGTTTGCTTCGGCTGCGATGAGGATGTGTCCGTCCCCGACTGCGACGTGCGTGACTATTGCTTTGCGGCCGTTGATTGTGACGGGGACTTCTTTGACGTAATCGTCTTCGTAGTCTTGTGGGTTTGAAGCTAGAGCTGAGAGCCGGGAAAGAGAAGCTGCAGGCTCCTTCTGTTTTGTATCTGACTTCGTTGACTCGGTTTGTCGCGGATCATCATGGTGTGAGCTTATCTCGCTGTTACGACGCATGATGGCATCTTCATAGACCCACTTACCCTCCTTCTCAACAGTGCAGGGCCTAAGCACTAGTGGCGGCTGTGAGAGATAGCGGCCTATGCTCGGGCTGGGAATGAAGAGGCCGTCATCATCTTCGTCCATCGGGACTGTTTCTGCTGATGCGGCGCCCGGGATGGGAATGCTTCCCTCCTCTTCATCGTTGCTATCCTCGTCCAACCGCTCAGGCCCTGATTGTGCGGAGGTTGGCTGTGCAGAAGTGAAACGCAGGGATAGGTTCCGGACATGTATTCTCTCTTCAAAAATGGCGAAGTTGTTGTTGCCAGTCGGGTTGGCATAGCCCCACAGGAAGAGCTCTCCATCCTCACTGACAGCAGCTGTTAGGTAGCCTCCAGACCTGACATGAGTGATCTTGATGTGGGAGAGGTAAGGTACTGGGCAGGGGTATTTAGCAGGCTGTCCGGCGTGGCTCCGGCGACCTAGACAATTGGGGAATCGAAGATCAGGAGTCCAAGTGTAAACTTTGCCTTCAGTAGTGAGTGCGGTGAAAGTGGTTGCGCCAGCAACCATCCACTGCCATCCCCGTCGGCATTTCTTGAGTGTCAACGGTATTCCTTGATGGTGAATGTCTTGCTGGCCATGCCGAAGCCAGAATTTGAGCTCGCTCACTGAATTGAAGGTGAGAATGCAGCCCTTCTTGTAGCGTGGTCGACTGGGCGTCTTTGGAGTCATGATCACCGAAACCTGACCACTGCCTGCGACCGCAATGTGGTGAACTAAGAATTCGCCATCCACGGTGTCAATGCGCTCGATCTCGTTAGGCCTGCTGAGGGCGTTGCGCTCAGCTTCGGTGGTGAAGAAAGTGACTGACCATGGGCTAGCGATTTTAGCGTAGCCGGCCAAACCGTTAAAGAGTGGCTGCCCGAAGTAGCATGGCCTAGGGTAGTCGTTTTGCTCTCGGATATTGGTAGTCTGCGAGTCGGTGAGGTTTTTACCTCTTCCGAAGTGGAAGAGCCTATCAACAACCGTCTCATCGACTGTGATCTTGCCAGCGACTGTTACCAATTAGTGATGTACAAGAATCCAGCAACAAAATGGCCATGTACTCAGTAAATCGCACCAAGAAGCCCAGAGTATCTCAAGGTCTTTCCCAGAGGTAGCCTTCATAGGCGTGAGGACTACCCCGGGTGAAGACAAGGCCAGTTGGCCAAAGAGGTTCTGACCAAATGCATAGAGCGTCATGTGGAGATCTAGATTATTATGAAATTGTGAACTAAAGGTCCTATAATGGTAGTTTCTATAAATCTTGGAAGCAATGTCAATTGTGTGCGCGTTCAGATCTTTTTGCTGGGTGAAATGATCTTATTTACAAACGTGGTGATAGAGCAACAGTTCATATTTGTGCGCTTACCGAAAGAGGCTGGATCGCCGCCAAGGCTGGCAAGATGTCACAAATTCACAACCTCCGTTCCTCAACATGCAATGCCTCCTCGCTACAAGATGTAAACTTAGTAGAGGGCGTGATGTATTGTAGACTGAGGTCCGAGGGGCTACGTGGTTTATATAGGATGTTGGTATGCCAAGCCTATGGTTGATTGGACAGCCCACATAGAGCTCTCGGGCCCACAGAACACGACCAATCGCTTCCTCCTACATTTATTTCTGCCTCGGCCACATAACATGTTGAAGAACAGAGAGGTATTGATTCCTCCAACTTCCTGCCACCCGCAGAGCATCAATTAAGATGTTACGAGTTTCTGTCCTAAATCATAGCCGTATCACCATACGTATATGGTCATCCACCTAGTGCTACGTCATGCCCAGTCACTGGAAGAATGAGAGTAGAGAGCCCTTAGGAACCTCACCACCGTATAGCACCATCCAACGGGCTGCGAAGGACCCTATGAGAAAATATCAGTACCTACAATTCTCTGTTGAAAAGGTGACATACATTTAATTGGACCACTCTCGGCAAATCCTAAAGCTTCGATGCGCCATGAAGCGATGAGCACTAGGACCCCAGAGCAAGGACCGTGCAGAAAATTGGATGGTGTTCGACGAAATGTTCAATCCCCTCTGTCATGTCTATAGCCTTGTTGAAGGCATGTTTGAGGAGTTGGCTCAGATTGGAGGGTTGCTCGAGTGATTGCTCCAGTTTGGCCAAGGTCCACTACACGGCCCCCTCGGTCCAGCCATATTCACTCACGATGTCGTCGAGCTTCTCCTTGAGGTCCTTTCCACCTTCCTTGGAGCCCATGATTGCTTGGATAACTTGCTCTGCGATATCCTCCGTCGTACAAGGGTCATGGTAAAGGATGGGGCGCTTTCTCGGCGGGAAGTCGTTCGTGACAGGCCTGGAGCCGGTGAGGCAATTGACGCTCGCGCTAATAAAGGAAGTCATGTCCACAATAGAATTGAACTGGGAAATAAGTTGGAGTGAGTGGTTGGGTTGTCGCTGAAATATAAAGGCGGTGTTATGCCCTACGTTTCTGTGCCGGGACTTGGTGGTAAGAAACAACCCCTACGAATCATTCAGGACCGTCATGCCACAACCACACCCTCCTCCACCCTTTAGTTCACGTGGCCACAGTCACGCGTTGTACGAGGAAATGGCGGTGCAAGTAGGCTACTGTGATACGTCCCTACCACCTCAGGGACCAATACAGGGCATTCAGAGAGTGATTTCTGCAAGATGCAGCCAGCTTTATGGAATCTCCCCACCCTTAATCTGCAATATCAGCTGCCTAGAAGGTTCTCCTTTCCCTCAACGTAACACGGTGTTACCCAAGATGCCTGGTGAAGGCCGGTTCCAATGCATCATCAGAGTCAAGGTCACTATCATCCCAATCCATTCCCATTTCAAACAAAAATGCATGAAGCAATGCCCACGATTTGAACAGAGGATCAGGATTTAGGTACAGGTCTCTACAGGTCCACGTGAAACTGTGTGCAAAAGAGCCTTATGTCCATGTTAGTACCGTCTTTTCTAATATAAATCTAGGTCGTATTCTAGAACATACCAGTCCTAACGCCATTTGATGTGAAACCGAGAGCATCCACAAAATCCGGGCACATTTGAACCAGGACCCCTAACGCCACTACAACCCCAAACCCCCTGGATCTTGGATTGAATTCGGCCATCTTCTCCTTGGCTGCTGTTACGCAATATCTGATTGCATCTGCAGCGCCAGAATAGTTATTGAGACCAGTAACGAGGGTCCCGAGGACGGCTTCCGCAAGTCCAGGGCGAATGTTATCATCAATGCGCTGCCTTATGACTTGGTGGAAGGAGACGTTGAGATCCTCGAGAGGAGCATGGAACATGACAGCTATTATCTCGCGCACAGTGACACGTTCGCTCCACTCTTGCTGGCTGAAGTTCTGGTTACGTTCGGGGTTGTCATCGAGCCAATCCTGAAACGAGGGGGCGAGCTGTGGTTGGGACATACTGTGTAGACGGGTTGCTGTAGTTGGAAGAAGTAAGGTATGTGGCTGTCAATATGTTTGCTGATAAGCTGTACAGGTTGAACCAAAGGATATCTGAAGCTTGGGAAGGGTTCATAGGTGGTTGGCGACGCCAGATGCACTCAAGCAGCTGGCAGTCGCAATGCATCTGAAAAACATCTAAACTCCAGCTGGACCGGACTTACCAAATCTCGACGATCACGTCGGTCGCTTCTTGCCGAGAGCTACAAAGCAGGCAGTGGCTTATATATCACTATCAATAATACCTTTCGTGACTGGCGTACCGGCAGACGGGTATGCGCACCCGTCAACCCGCTTGTGTTTCAATGGTATGGTGATTCGTCGGGCGCTCAACCTACTCCACGCAGGTGTCTTGAGAGGCGCGTCGTTTGAATATTGAAGTATACAGAACTTGTACATTGGGTACGCCTTCGACAGGTGGATGGAACCCTCAAAATCTGATTGTAGGTTTGGCGCTAGAAGTTGCGGAAACATCAAGTTTTCAGTGTGGGTGACCTAACCAAAGCCACGGGGCTAGAAATAACGCCTGCCAGTGTAAGCCGAGTTTTCCTTTCTCTTGTCGTTTTGCCGGCGTTCTTCTGTCACCTTACCTACTCCTATTGTAGATGTTTCTTGAATTTGTCATAGTCCTTCTGTTTGATACCTTAGTGTTTACAATTGAGTTTGTTCTGCTTTTCCCTGTAGATAGCTTTATGCGCAAACGAAGGAGTTTCTGGATAGGTACATAAGTTTGGATTTTGGCCCTAGGCTTCTCAGTCGGCAACTTGATAGATCCTTTAAGGTATCGCTTTGGGACTACCCCAATTTCCCCCTTTGTGCATGGCGGTACGCCTGCCAACTTGTAACGACTCTCTGCACCTAGAAATCATCTGTCGAAGAAGTCTTGAGATGTCTCCTTTTTTCTGTCAATAAGACAGCCTACGAAAACATATCTCCTCACTTATACACTGCCACCATAATAAGTACTTCCTCTATACAGTTACTTCTTTATCTGCCTCGACGAGCTACTATTCGTCTCTCAACTAACGTCTCTAGATATTCACTTTGGGATGAACCTCGGACGCCTCTCGTCTGGGTGTAAGCTGCATGGCAACCAAGGAATCATTCACTAGCATTCGGATTCGCTTATGGTATGATAGTAGGCACACAATGATAGCGAGCTACCTTTACCACTCTCCAGCTACGCCAATATCGCCAGGACGAATACGATCATCTTCTGCCTCCAAAATTTCTCCCTTTTCACTCTATCACCCACTCCAGTGCAATCAACTCTCCCCTCTTCTGCCTCCCCTCCCTTACCTTCGCCCTCCCACGCCACGGCTCAGGCTCGTAAAAAAAAAACCCCCCCTCTCTCACTATGGGCGGAAACGCCTTCAAACACCGCCTCTACACCCCGCGCATCTCCGCAGCTCTGTACCGGCAGATCCGGACGCAGGCATCCGCCATCCTCCGCACTTTCTTCACCCACGTCATAGTCCCCACTGAACTCCCTTCCAAAAGTGACTTCGGCGACGTCGACTTCTTCGTTGGCGGCCCGCTGCCGCACGCCCTCTTCCCCAATACCAATGACTGCAAGCCAGACCTCTGGTCTACCGTCTCTGCGCTGAAAACCGCATTCATCACTCCCCACGGATTCCAAGTTAAGTTAAACCTCGATGTGATTTTCCTCGCCGTCATGCCGCTTTCCCCACCTGCCATGCTTCGTGAGAGGGGGTTCTGGGTGCAGATTGATGTCAAGATTTGCGGGTATGGGAGCGAAAGTACGGCAGTAAATGTGGAGAGGTTTCAGTGGGAGGTGTTCCAACTGCATTACGCTTCCGTAGCGAAGATTCTAGGGAGTATGGTGAAGCCAGTGGGTTTGACTATGGATCCGGAGGGCTTATGGGTTAGGGTTGAGGAGATGGAGGGAGCGAATTTTGGGGCGAGTAAGGTAAGTCGCAGACCAGAGACCTCTGCGGGTCTTTGTGGGGATAAATGCTTGATGATGGTGGTGTAGGTGTGGTTGACCGCGGAACTGCGGACGGTATTGGAAGTCTTGGGACTAGATGAGAGGGTTCTGAACAAAGGTTTCGGATGCAATAAAGAGCGTGAGTTTCTCCAACAATCTTGGATGCGACGTGGCCCGGCTCGACTTCGCTGATTTGTTGCGCAACAGTCTTTGAATACTTGTCATCCTGGTGGCTCTTCAATCCCGCGCATTTTGTCGAAAGGCTCAAGAATCGCGAGTATAGGAAACGGCTTGAGGAGCGGGCAAGCTGGTGGCGCTATTTCGTTAGTGAATGGACCCCGAGACGTCTTCCTGAGAACCGATTCCCGGCTTCAGACTCTGACCCAGCTAGAGCGGCCTCAGCCCACTGTCTTCTGGCCAACGCCGAAGGAGATGCGGATATGGATGTGGATATTGATGTGGATATGAGCGAAGACTACGAAGATCTCGCACAATGGTACAAATCCACGCGCACCATCGTCCGCTCTAGAGTCTTCAGTATGTTCCCACCAAACGTGCAATCAGAGTACGAGGAAAAGAAACGTGGATATCTCAAGGATATCGACAAGGTCTGGAAGAAGGAAATGCTGAAATGGCTGACGGGATTAAATCTAGTTGATGACTTAATGGATCCTTGAGGGTCACCAGGGACGATCTGTCGGCCTTGGACACTTCATCCGTGCTTCTGTCTGTCGGGTTGGTTTGGCTTTCTCGAACATACCACACTCGTCACTTTACGGTTCAGTATGGTTCTTGTACTTGTAGGGCAACTGAGCGGCAAAACCACTTTTTGGTGGAGAGGCGAACAAGATCCCAACGTGTACGGAGCAGCTCTTTTCACAACCTTTCCTTTCTGTCCGTATTTCCCCATCATCGAACTACTAGCACAAACTGGTAGGTCGAAGTTTTTAGAACCACTCGAGTACTTTGGCTGGAATAGTGGGTGTATGGCTATGCGTAGTTGGAATCAAAACAGAAAACCCAGAGTAGCACTGATCTTGCCATTGGGCCACCATCGGTGAAAACAGTATCCAGTCGAATATGACCAGACACGACGGCAGTTGAGAGTATCAGAATCTGATTTCCCTTCTGGATGCCACCTGATATACACTGCTCGCATGCATAGGATTAAGTGGCGATGCGGACTGAAGGAATTCAGGAACGGATAATAGGATCTATGTTGCCATTGAGACTTTGACACTATGCACAGTACGTAGTACAACCCCAAGCAGGGCACATTTTGAGAGCAGGATAGAAGAAAATGCTTAGAGCACCGAAAGATCGCCGAATTTTTCCTATGTAGTACGTTAGCTATGGTGCCCACGCATCCAGAACGCCTCTATGAAGACTTACCTTGTAGCCTGGAACGGCCCAGCGACCCTTCGACACAAGTTGCTCAGTTCGCTTGTCAATGTCCGGCTGTGCAGCCGCAACTTCATCCTAATCCACCCGTTAGCATTATTCTCAACAGCCTCGGCGTAGTCTCGGGGTTGTACATACCACCGTCAGATCATCGAACGGCCTCGCCTCCTCAATATTCTTCAACGTCTTCTCCAAATCCGCCAGCTCCTTATCCACCACGGCCTTCGTCTCCTCGGCACTCTTAACGGCCTGCGCCTCAAACGCCTCAATCGCCCTGATCTGCCGTCCTACATCATATGTCTGCGGCTTGAACGCACTGAAGCTCCTCTCGATCTCGTCGATGACGGCCGTGTTCTTGAGGATGGAGCGGTAGTGCGCGAAGTCGACGGTTTGCGGCTGCTCGGACAGGATAGTGACTTTGCGGCGGGCGTCATCGTTACGCTTCTTGAAGGCCTGGAGGGCCGTCGCCGTGCTGCCTTTTAGCCCGAGTTGTGTGCCGAGCTTGGTCCAGTCGAGCTTGAGGGCGGCGCTGCGCTGTTGGGGAGGGTTGAGTTAGTTTTGTGGTGGGAACTTTGGAGAGCGACTGGAGGTGTCGCGGTGGGGAGAGAGCAGCAATTGGGGTTTTATAAGCTTCCAAGGGCGTTATAAGGGGGGTAAAACGTACTCCGACTGCCATTGTGATGGATGAGGACGGGGATGTGGTAGGGAGGGTTTTCGTGATGGAGGTCAAGTTCATCCGTTGCTCCTTCGACTTCGGCTTCTCATTGCTTGGCATTGCTTGGCATTGCTCTCGCCCGCAGTTCCACTGCATCTGTTTAAGCTTCAGCAGAAATCTGAAGCCATCGACAACTGAGAGGTAATTGGGCTACAGCCCGGGCTAGCAACCCATTCTTTGGATGATTTGTGGCAGATCCTAGAATTAGCTTCGCTGCTAGCAAAATCACGTAGAAATTTGAGATCAAGTTTAGTGACATGTAAGATCCATTTTTGAGAGCCTCTTATACATGATTGATAAGTTCCTACGCCTCAAAACAACGAGAGGAAGCCGTCACGCCAATCCGGTCTCACAGGCAGGCCTATATGCTGAGCGCCATAATAGAATTGACAATATCGTTGTCATTCTCCTTGAGTGCCTTGACGGCCTTCTTCCTTGACACACTCGCCTGCTGCATGACGAGCTCAATGTCCTTCGCCTCAAGCCCAGAGTCGTCCACCTCCTCGCCGTCATCATCCTCCTCCTCCTCCTCCTTCTTGTCCTCGACGGCCTTGTGGTCGTGGTCATGGTCATGGTCGTGGCCGGAGTGGTCGTGCGCGGCCTCAGCGTTGGCATTGGCGAGTTGCTGGGCGGCGGAGGCTTGGGCCTGGGAATTCAAGTCTTCGATCTTGGCTTCGCCGAAGATGCTGGGAGTGTGTCAGCGCAGCGCCAAACATTTCAAGCGATGGGGAACATACATCCAAGTGTTGCTCGAGGGCGACCTGTACACATCTGGCTGGTTGATCACGAAGAGAATCTGACACTTGCATTAGTTTGCGAACAGCAGAAATCTACCGTTGGGAACTAGTGCTGGAGCAACAAAACTTCAATGTCCTGTTATGTCCGCACTCCCCCATCAAGTGAAATCCCACTCACATTCTTCGGTCGTCGGAGCGTAACCCGAGTAATGCCCTCGACATGCTTCAACCCAAGCTTGGCAATCGCCTTGCGAGCCTTCTTCTCGTTGCGGGAGTGCACGGCGACGGAAGCACCAGCGGGGATGCCAGCCTCACCAGCAGCCTCGACCTCGGAGTCGGAGCTAGACTCCGCATCCTCAACCTGCGGGCCCTTGCTCTCAGGCTCGTCTGGGAGTTCTTCAATGCGCGGGTTTGCCATGATGTCGTGGGTGGTGGAGGAGGCAAGGTGGTGGGCACCGCAGCCAAAGGTGAGGTTGGAGCTTTCGGCCTTTTCTCGCTTGTGGGCAATTTAGCGAGGGGAGCTCTGAAATGTGTCACAGGCCAACTTCACCGGCATCTATCAATACTTGTATCTTAAATAGGAGACTAGAGAGCAGGATATCGATTATGGCACTTCTACAGTGATTTCATGAAATGTTGGAATTGGCTCTTTTGCTACATGTGTTCGCATGAGAGAGCCGTCTTAACCTTCCGATCCGAATTGCACCATGCCAAACATGAGATTCACCTGAATCCAGGCTTTGAATTTTGAATGCCGTGGATAACCACTCGGAGCGGTTGTGAAATGCACTTGATCCCCACCACCGGCCATCTTCCAGCGTCAACCTTCATGCGTCCCTACCCCACTTAGAGGGCGTCTATGCCTTCGCGCGGACCTTGGAGAGGGTCTTGCGGACCTCAAATCGTGCCTGGAGAAATCCGTCAGCCCTCCGATCCTGTTTTCCAGCCCCAACATGTCCAGGTGGTCCGAAATGGACCACACCTGGCCACGCATGGACGCAAGCCGAGGATATCAACACACCTGCTTCCTCAACTTCATGACCTTGAATCTCTCAAAGTCGTTGAGCTGTTTCCGCTTCTGGAACTGAGCCCGCTTCTTTGCCCAGGTGCTCTCCGCGAACTGTTCGTCCACCTTCTCTGACTCCCACAGCTTCCTGACGACTCCATTACCGGTCGCGCGCGGGAGCTTGGGAATGACGATTGGAGTCAGTGATAGGGAAGAGAGGCTCGCGGCGTGTCGGGGAACCGTGGCGTCCTTGGAGGGTCCATCAACGAGCACCTGAGTTCGTGAGCACTCTAATCCTTCCGGAAGTATGATTCTGGGTGGAAAATCATACACGCTTGTGGTCGATGATCTCGACAATGGTCGCTAACCGTCCCTCATACGGGCCTGAACCGAAGAGCACGACGCGGCCGACCTCGACCAGTCTCCACTTGCTCGTTGAGATATCGGCGTCACCCATTTCGACGTGTGTTGCTACAAATTAATGTTAGATGAGGAGAGGATTCGTGCGTGTATTATCGCAGGCGTACCGGTCGGAAATAGGAGTCGGTTTCGAGATGATGTTGTCGGTTGATTGAGGAGTTGGAACTTGTGAGGTCGGGTTTGTGGGCGAAATGGCCGTGCCAAGACTCCAAGCGAGCCAGCTACTTTTTCTTCCCGACCGAGCTCCTTCCTCCCTTTCGCAACAACATCTCGCAGCCACACGACTGCACCACCTTTTACAGGCAGGCATATCGATCCCTGGCTGTTTACTCGACCATGGTAAGTTCCGTCTCCGTCTCATTGACTCTTCCCTACGATTCCAATGATGCGGTAATTTGCGATTGAGTCCTTCGGCGGAGACCCTCGCCGGGGTTTCGTAAACGTCGTCGGACCTATGATATTTCATTCTTACATATTCTGAGCCCCTTCTTCTCCTATCTACCTGGTCTATAGAGCTTGCCTCTGAGAGGGTCCTGACTTGGAGTAGATGCGTCGATGACGTGCAACGAGACGGGAATTGACCCACCACACTATCTTTTCTCATATTCTAGAACATGACTGCAGTAGAGTCAAATTTGGCAATTCTCTTGATGGAAGTAGAGAGGTTGTTGGAAAGATTTTGATCGAGGGCCTACCTCGCCCCTGTTATGTTTTGCTGTATGTGCCAGCATATAGTATGCTTGCTTGAGCGTCTGCAGACAAGCTCATCCACCGACCCGCTCGTCGTCCTCTGGGACTCAGACACATCCGAGGTAAGGATGCGACATTTTCCCATCTTCATCTTTCCCTCCCCTTCCGATGATTAAAACTTTGCCTAGATAGTAAATGACTCTCTGGAGTATGATTTACTTTTTTATCACCAAGATCACTGAGGAACTCTCTACAATCTTCTCACTTATTGTGTACTGCGTTTATGGACGTAGCATTCGCTAACAAGTCTGACAGATCAGTTGTACAGTGTATTCGCATCAACCGCGGAAGATTCAGAGGCACGATTTGAATCATTAAGTATCTTACTACAATCAGGGGTTTACACTAACTGGGTGTTCGCTTCTGTAATGAAATTCCCGCTGCTATGTTCTTATTACCCTGGCAGTGAGCTAGCCGGAGACGTTAAGACGTAACTTACCCAGCCCTGTGACCTAACTGCTTCATATTTGGCTTGCAAGCAGGGTCAAATCACGACGGAGATAGTACGCAATAGCGTGGTACCCACTCAACCCGAGGCACACACGCCTTCTATTTGTAGCGTCAAATTTACTATATCCAAATGCAGACTCATTGTTAAAATTGTCGGTTGCCTTGCGCGTGAAGCTCTCATTCCTCGCCCTCGTCAGCCGATACACGTCGTCTCCGTGCACCTCCCGTGATCCTCCTACCATGATTCCGATACAGCTTAACAAGAAGCTCCCTCGTAATAGGTTCAAATGCAGTTCTCGCATCAAACTTTGATCCACCATACGGAAACGGAACAATACTCATCCAATCTGTCTCCTCATCCATATAAAACTGCAACGAAAAAGTTTCCGCCCTCTTCAACAAACTTTTCAGCATCACCCCCTTCCCAAATTCACCCCCCTGAGAATCTGCCCACTGCCAAAGCGCCGGATCGTGGAAATTTAGGATGTCTCGAGAAGTCTCCGCATACAAAATCTGCGAATTAAACAAGAGGTGGCGTATGACGTCAAAATTACATCCACAATCCACAACCGCATACCTAAGCAATTCCGTAGTAATCTCCTGCGCAATACCCAGCAGCACCGCCAACGCGGCGACTGCATGCTCGTTCCCCTCCCTAATAGCGTCTTTCATCCCGTCTTTCGCTGTCTCCCCGGCAAGCGATGCTGACCAATCTATTTCCCCGTTTAGAGAAACTAGAACGTAGAGTAGTTTCGCTTTCTCAGAGTCAGAGTCCTGGTCCGAGGGCGTGCTCCAAGGGCCATGAAGCAGTTTCTCGGGGATGTGAAACCCCTCCGCGAATCCAAGATACGTGATCTGCGTGAATCGGGATGGCCATAGGCGGTCGAAATACGTAGCGTCTGGGACTGTGACGCCGGTTTTTGCCCATGCTCTGCCGCGCTGTTTGATGAGAGCGTCGTGGGCTTTTTCTACGTAGGTGTAGAAAAAAGGCCAGGTGAAGAAGCGGCAGGAAAGGAGGTCAGATTGGCCGACTGGATCGCTGGTTATGCGACGGTGCCGGATGTTGGCTTTGTGGTCGACGGTGTGGAAGAAACTACGCATGCAGTATTCCATGCAGATGGATTTTGAGGAGAGGAGGCGGCCCAGGGAGGGGGAGGCGCGCGGAAGTGAGATGTTCATGGAGTAAAGGAATATTATTTCTAGGAGTTCTTGGGGGAGGGATTGGAGGGTTGGCATGACTGGTACGGCGGTTGGTTTTGGTTTGGGGGGTTTGGATTTCAAGCTGGAGGGATGAAAATGCTTTAGGAGGGGCTGAATGCTAGAGAGGTTGCGGGGGGCTGGTTTCCGTTTCTTGCCTCGGATGCGGACTGGTGTGAGGGTCATTCCTTATGAGGGAGGGTGCGTTGCTGATGCGGGTTTAGTTGTAGTCCTCCCTGGGATCTCTCTATGGCTCCTTGCTGCGGTGGTGGATTCTCAAGGATAGCTATTCAATTGTAAAGAATTAGAAATTGAGGGGAGATTGCAGGCTGCTTTTCGAGGGCCCTGGGTCTTATAACGGGGAATGGGGCAGGCAGCAAGAAAATCGCACAAAAGCGAGAATCGCAAATGGTACACACGTAAGTGTGGCGCTAACTAACTAGCGTCAGGCGTCGAACGACCGAAGCCTCAAAGGATTCATTTGTACTGTGGCTTTCCCCCCCGACTTCTTGGCATCCGCAATTCTGTTGATGGTCGAGGCCATAAACAAAGCCGCAGCCTCAAAACTTCCCGGCTTCACTATTCACCCCCAACCACCAGCCTTCCAGCAACTACAAGTATGCAGGTTCACGCTGTCCCAGATTCCGAGCGCGCTTTCGATTCTACGGGGAGAAGACTCCCTTGGGCGTTTGAATTCGCAGAGTGAGTATTCTTCACTTTTATTCCATCTTCACTTCTACGAAGCGCATAGACTCACAAACATATTTCTAGCTCTGATCAGACCAAGCGTCGCATACCCGAAGAGAAAGGGCCATTTGGCAAAGCGCGCAAACGAGGCACTTCACGCAGTAAGACTGCGACCCCCGCCCGCAAAGAAGACCAAGCCAAGCTCGACAATATCCGCGTTATCGACGACATCTTTGCACGAAGCAAAGCGGCAGAGGAGAAGAAGGAGTCTCTGCGAGTGCGCAAGACATCGGGTCCTTCAGCCTCTCTTCCAATCTCCGCATCCGCGCCGAATCTTATTGATGGACCCGGCCTGGTGGGTTCGTTCCAGGCAGGCGCATCTACGGGCACAACGGTGAAGGAGCCAACGGAAGTTATATTATATGGCTATGGCAACGACGTCCAGTGGGCGGCGGTTGACTACTATGAAAAGGTCTCTGGCGGCATAATCTACGAGGACTATGATCGACAACCTCCATCTGCGAAATACAATCTCACGCTCTCGGCACAGAAAGCGTCATCTTACCGCTCCCTCTCTAAAGTATCGCTCCGCAAAATCAACGAGTATGTCGGGGGTGAACACTGGATAAAAGTCACGTTCGACAGCCCTGAGGCAGCTGAGCGCGCATGCCACTACTCCCCGCATGTCGTCCAAGGATACACAGTGTTCGCGGAGCGGTATAGGGGGACGGGACCGAATGCCGATAGAGCGTTGAGGGCGAGCGCTGGAGCGCAGACAAGCCAGACGGCCAGTCCAAACACTCTTTCTTCGACGACTATGCCATTTGGGAACACATCGCAGTCTTCTCACACGCTTTCATCAGCTACCGCCACAGGATCGATGCCAGCCTCGATGCCACAACGCCAGCAATCAGAGCCTGTTCTCCGCGGCGCCTTTCCAGTTGATGATCCAGAACCCACCATAACCACTAATCCATTCCGACAAGAACCCTCATCCTCCGCAGCTGCAGGAACCACATCATCTCTCCAACCCCCTGGTGCCCGACCCTCTGCAACCCAGAAATCGAGCCTCCGTGTCCGCGGCGCCCGCCCTGTCGTTCTGCTGCCTCAAGAAAAAGCCTTTCTCCCTGCCGCGCCTCGCTGGCAGCAGACGCTCGGCTCGTGGCCCATCATCGGCTGGGTAGTCGGATCGGGACATGGCATGATCGGCGATCAGGTACCAAGGAAAGAGGATGGTTCATTTGACAGCAAGAGCGCGAGTCTGTACTGGCGGGTCTGGTATGCGGTGGATAGCTGCTTCGGGACGGATTTCTGTGGGGTTAAGGATGCGGAGTATGATGACTGAGGCGGTGGATAAGGCGGTGGATAAAGCGGCAGTGATAGCAGCCGGGGGTCTTTTGAAAATAGGAACAAGCAGATTGGTTCGTGGGTGGGATGTAGGAACTCTTTGATGCATTGGGCGGCGTATACATGGCGTTCATCCTGCTGAAAATTACCTGGGAGGATGGTTGTCTTTTAGGCTTCTTTATTTAGTACCGATACCTAAGTATTGCTATAGCTCGATCGAGAAGCGCTCTGCGGAGCTCGCTCTAAAGGGAATTGAATTGCGATGCCCCAAACCTCTGAATAGAACGCAGTAAATTTCATCAGGAATGAACATGATATGAACGTTTCGTTACATTCAAACATGCTTGTGAGGGTGGTCTTCTGTACTTCGTAGATTGGGAAATAGTTGTGCACGTGACCACTCGATTATGTCATCTGTGATCGGCGTTCTTGGCCTCTCTCACTTCAGTGGAGCGAGGCGACGGATTCCAGAACAAGTTGTCTTGTTTCCTCCTCCAGACACACTCTCTCACAACCTCCGCTCGACACGCCCCCAACACATTAACCATGTGGATTATAAATTGGTAAGTACATACTCCTTGCGTTTTGTTGACTGCCTGCTGATTTCTTGATATAGGTGTAAGTACTTTCCAGATACCCGCTTGTCTTCCGGCCTTTTCCCTTCGGATTCGTAGATTCGGCGCTTCGCGATAAGGATATTTATGGGGGGACTTGGGAATGTAGTTGGCGTATACCATGGTTCCGAGGACATACTGCTGGAGGCATTCGTTCTCTCAGCCGATGGGCGAGCTGGCCTCAACGAAGCGCAACCGGCACCATGAATCCTGAAAACATTCCCATGAAATGCCTTTTGAGTGCTGTGCACACAAAAGTTGGATTATTTTAACACTGCTGAATAGAGGGGCTGACTGTTCTGTGTCTAGTCTACGATGTGCTGGCCTCATTGGGTCTGCTCAACAAGGTAGGATTCCATATATATATTTTTTTCTGTGGCATATGACTGACATGTACCAGCACGCCAAACTTCTATTCCTCGGATTGTGCGTACCCCCAGATTCCGCTCCCAGCCCTGACTCCCCCCAATGGCCATGGTGCTACGTCCCCCCTCTCACAATTTCCAATCTAACCCATCCAACAAACAGAGACAACGCCGGCAAAACCACCCTTCTCCACATGCTCAAGAACGACCGCGTTGCCGTCCTTCAACCGACACTGCACCCAACATCTGAAGAGCTGTCTATAGGAAACGTCAAATTCACAACCTTCGATCTCGGCGGCCACGCACAAGCCCGACGTCTCTGGCGCGACTATTTTCCCGAGGTCAGCGGCATTGTGTTTCTCGTTGATGCAAAGGATCACGAGAGGTTGCCCGAGGCCAAAGCGGAGCTTGATGCGCTGCTGAGTATGGAGGAGCTTTCGAATACCCCATTTGTGGTTTTGGGGAATAAGGTAAGACCATTCCTGGCCTAGTCTTGGTGTATAATAGGTGTTGATGCGGCATAGATTGACCACCCCGACGCCGTTTCTGAGGACCAGCTACGAGCGAGTCTTGGCTTGTACCAGACAACCGGCAAGGGTAAGGTACCGCTTGAGGGCATCCGGCCAATCGAGGTCTTCATGTGCAGTGTGGTCATGCGACAGGGTTATGGTGAGGGTATCCGCTGGCTCAGCCAGTATGTCTAATTCCACCCATTACTCGGACTCGGCCCGATGTATGAGGTGCAGTGGGGTAGGGGATGGTCTGGTAGAGGTATTGCATGACGGGACATATAGTTATGGTTCTGAGTTGAATGGACGCATGATGGATAGTTTGGCTTCATACAAACAACACAACACACTAACACTCTTAGAGAGATATACTTTTTACGGTGGCGAATGGAATGGCGTTTCCGTCGAGGCAAAGCTACTTGTATGTCTCCCTTCAACCCAATGGCTTATTTACTTGAGTACCGTGGGATGTTTTCTTAGGCTAGGTTCTTGTGATATTTGGATGGATGTTGATTTCTATATCCCCCGAATGCACCTGCAAGACCTTGGGAAACAGTGGATTCTACAACACATCAATAGCAATCCCCATCTTACCCATCAGTATCACCATCATCACAATTATCGGCAGCAGCAGCAGCAGCATCCTCATCTCCCATAGCCCTCACTTCAACAAAAAGGTTCCCCGTTTCTCTCGGGCTCTCAGATCTTATAATTGGGGTTGAGTATAGAGATCGTCACATATGCGGGTATAGGATGGATATGGTTCCCATATGATTATAAACGTTAGCATACGCACTCGAACTCCCAAGAGAGAAGCGGAACAAGATAGAATATTGTAGTAGGTCCTTGCTTCTTCGACAACAAACCGGATGTGGGTCGGCACGGGCGACGAACCGATGCCGATGTCGCGATAGGTGAGGGCCGCCCCGGCGCGCAACCCACGGCGCACAGTGACGGGAAGAACCATTTCTCGGAAAAGAGTGTCAGTGCTCGGTATCCGGATTCTCAGCTTCCTGTTTGTGGCGTGGAAGAGCTGTTCTAAAGGGCTGCAAGCGGGTGCGTGTAGATGGGGTCGTCATCTTCGGAGTCAGATTCCGAGCACCAGCTTGAGGGTTCTGAAAACGGAGAGGGAGGAGTGTCGTGGGTCTGGGGTGAAAGCACAGATACGTCGGGTAGTGTGGCAGGCAGAGTGTTGCTTTTCGTCGTCGTCGTCGTCCCCGTAGCCGTAGCCATACAATGGCCGTGGCGAGGGTGTCGTGGATTTAGCGGGCATGACAACCGTCCTACAATCCACGGCTGCATGCCCATAAAGAAGAAGTTCGTTGGGAATAGCGCGTTCTGCGGTGATGGGTCGGCATGGTATGTATCCTTGTCACTCGTCGAGCCATGAGCGAATGTGTTCGTGTTGTCATACACGATACCCGACAGAGAGACGAAGAAATGAACCTCCTGAAAAGAATCCTTTGGTATCTTGTGTCGGTGGATGTGTAGGTCATTTCTGCAAAGGTAGCAGGCTTGGGGGTCACTCGGCGGCGATATTGGAGTTCTCTTAGAGATAGGGCGGTCATGCAGCTCGAGCGGATCTTGATTGCGGCTGATCTATTCTTGTTAGCTGTCAAGCAGACGCTTGAAGGTTTCGAGTTTGGTGAGTTTTGATGATACCTGGAGCTCTGGATGGAGCTCGGCTTCAAGGCTCTAGATTGCTGCATTGATTTCCGAGAGACTGCGGGCTGTGGGTTGGACTTTTTCCACAACTGTGGGCTGGTGAAAGGCGAGTAAAGTCGAGGTGGATGTGGCGACCCCGTCTGGCTTGTAGGTTCTCGGTTCCTATATTCTACTATATCGTCACTGGTTTGAAATAGGGTACGATGAAAGGGAGGTTGGTTTAGTCGTTCAGGAAATGTGAAGAACACTTACACTGACGTCTTCGTTTCTGGTTTTTGACAACCCTGATGTTAAAATGGGCCTTGGTTGGAGACTCAAGTGTGGAGAATCAGAAGTATCATTGATATTGTTATCTCTGCAGTCTTCAATGGAAGCTAAGTTGGAAGGTAGCGTGGTCTGAGTGGCACTCTGCAGAAGAAATTCTTGGTTACCCGTTGTTCCCATTCTGCAGCAGTGGTTGAGCGATTTCTGGGGAAGGGCCAAGTATCAAACCAAGAGCTGAAGGGGATGTTATCAATTGTCTTACCAGTGGTTCATCGTCATGAGCAGTATTTATGCCCTCATATCCTTCGCTATTATATCCTTTATCGTCATCGGTCTCACTATCCTCACAGCTACTAACTCTTGCTTGGTACTTCTTCCCCTTATTCAACCTAGGATCATGCGTCCTGACTAGCTCAAGTGTCTCATCCAACATTACACTCCCATCTGACGCTACCGATAGAATGACATAAAATGACTCATCTCCATGAGCCTTGTTCAGCCACATCCACCTCTGTAATGTCATCATCTAACAACTCTTCCCCTAAGACATGCAAGTTCGTAATACTTGCTAGCAACGCTGAGTTCTTCCGCCCTCTTCTTATCTCATCTAGGAGCATGTTCAGCTTCGCCTCGATCCTCTGCAGTGCGTTGGCATGCGCGTGTGTCAGGAAGAGGCCCAGCCCCTGGGTGTGTCTTGCCAAGTTGTGCCGCACATCTTGTACCTTAGACGTTCTGAATGCAAGATGGTCACGAGTCCGGGGGTTTCTCGTGCGCAGGGACTTCTGCCTTTTAAGGAGGCGCTGAACGTCTTTGAGATCAGCATCACAGTTCAGGAGGAGTCATCCCAGCTCGGCCTTCTTGGGGTTGGAGCCCTGGATGAAGAGCAACGTGGGGCCATTGGCTTCCTCGTGGAGTTCCCGGATGGCGGCTTGGAGGTCTTTAACTACAGAACTAAATATTAGCTTCGAGTTGTTTCTAGGGTGTCGTGCCATTTACCATCACCCTTCAATGCCTTGAATTCGGTGCCGGTGTTTCTGCCTGATCCTTGCCAAGTACAGTGCTTTCCAGCCCACGACCCCCGGGTTATAACGTGACATATTACATGACTTATAGAGATCCCGCGCGAAAGGAATAACTGCAGCAATATGCGAGAGGGAAAAGGCGAAGCCTACTACCATGATACGCAGGTTATGGTGAAGTCCCGGGGAAGACAACGACGAAGATCCAGCCGAGGATTTAGCATGGTCAGCGTGGTACGGCTCAAGCAAAATGGATGCATGGGGTTGTTGGAGCTGCCCAATCTTAGTAGTAAGGGCAACTTAGGCATTCTCTCTTTGCGATATACAGGAGCCTAGTGGTTATCCTACATTCTTCTAGCGAGAACGTTACCTCGCACTAGTAGTTCCCCTACCGATACTGAGAAGATCTTTCATTCTGAGCCACTTACTCCAACAGGTATTACTCTCAGAGGGATTCTGCAAGATTTGCTATCTAGGCTGATTCTAGACTCTGGCAAAAGTCCACTTGTTTAGTTCTTTTACTTCCCATGACCCAAGTCCAGAGTTGCTCTCACATATCACTAGAGGCTATCAACCTCAGGTTTTCGCACCATGCTAATGGCTGTGAGTACTATGACCATTCTATGCAAAGGGAACTTAAGTGCCTTTTCCATGGTCTTAATAACAAAGGTGAATTTCATACCTGTTAACCCACTGTCCTCTACTGTGGATAACACGCAGATGAAAACCTGCTGGGACTTGAATTTTCTTCCTACATCTCATCTCTATCACGGCAATCCAAGAAAGGACAGCCGAAACGAATGTTCTTCATCGGGTGATGCCTGCATGGTCACGGTACCCATGCCTCCGGTTGCAAATAAACCAGCTGTAGAGATAGCAAGTGAACTGGTATTCCAAACTACATAGAATACTGGCCTTCTCTGAAACAACTTAACGTATTCACAACTGTCCCCAGCATGCCTCTTCCATGCGCCTAGCCTATCTTGACTGTCTTGGCGGCAGTCTCCTCTCATTGAGAGTAGCAGGAAAAATCCTGAGGATATATTGATGTGAAAGCTTGGGAACCAATTGGGGGTATTCGCTCCCAGAACTGGATTCGTCCCATTAACTGTTGGCATCGCATAGTTCCAGAAACAATACTGGGTCAGGGTCTCTATTTAGACCTGATCCAGGGAAGTTGTGAAACGACCGCATACTCCTACCGTTTGCTCGTTGTCCTTGATTCTCACTCAAGGGCAGTGTGCAGTTTGAACCCTGGTCGCCCTCGAAATATTGCGCGAGCTTCCTCGCGTTATAGTGGCGATTTTTCTTGTACGGTGCCCATGGTCCTTCCTTTAACTGATTTCTCTGATAACTGACTATATAATTGAGCTTGATATTCCGACTAGCAGCCGTGCCCTTAAGCTATTTCGTGAAGGCGTATTTATGGTTCGGGTCAGCTACATTAACAGCTTCAACAACCTGATAGCTCTTCCTCACAAACGTACCCGTGGCTTTGATGGAGGGCTCGTAGAATTCTACGGAAACATAACAATCAGCTAAGAACCAATTCAACTGCTAAAACTCTCGTGGCCCTAGCGTAACTTTGCGCTCTCGACCGTGAAGGTATCTTTGTTAACGACGATCGAGGTTACGGGATCTTCTTCGAAGAAATGGAGAGCTGCGCTGCAACTAGAGGAAAAGGATAGGATACTGGAGGATTGGAAGCTCGAAAATCTTTCTAGATATTCAGGGCGTAGGTCTAAGTCTAGAAATGCCACTATTAGTCCAGTAATAAACGATTGCAAAAACGAAAGGGCACCAGGAGAAGGAGAAAGAGTTCTCAGTGACCTAAAAGGCCTCTCGTGCTGAAATTATCAGAGTTGATCGTAGGCGATCGTTCATCATGTACCTGAAATGGTGTATATTTAATATCTAAAACTTCTAGTCAGGATTAGGATTATATAGAGGGCTATAGGGGTGCTGACATCTGCTCTAAAATTATATTTTATCTTCGATAAATGTGTTATATGAATTACGTCCTAAATAAGGGAGATGTATTGCTGCAATTAAATACACGTCCTTGACGATATCAAAGACCTAACTCATTTGCCACAATTCCTTTAATTCACGTATTTCTGCAGCCCTAAACATATATCGTCAGGAATTTCAAATCGTAGTCGTTACTGCATATCATGGTTGCGGAAATGCCAGAGCGTCCCCCTCTCCACACCCTTGCGTTACGGAGATTTGCCATTGCACATTGTCCGCTGGCACGTTTAGAGCAAGGCAACTACGCCAATGACACCAACAGCAAGCACACCAGGCCCGTAGACTGGAGTTGCGGCCGCACCGGTGAATTGGGCGGGAGGGGCAGAGGTGAATGAGGCATTGGAAGCGGGTGGAGTTGGAGGAGCAAGCGGGGCTTGGGTAGGAACTTGCGGCTGCCCGTCACTTATCTGAGAAATTATTGGGCCAGACGGAGCTTGGGTAGTTCGAGGTGCCACAGTCGGGGCTTGCAGTTGTCCTAGCGTAAAGTTAGGCTGGAGAATATCATGCCATTTAGTAAACGATACCGTCGCTTATTTGAGTCACCACGGCGGCCGTGGTTGGTGCAGCAGTGGGAACTTGAGGCTGGCCTGGTTTGCGATGTTAGTTAACTTAGAGAAGAGAATGATGCAAGAAATACTTAACATCTGATATTTGTGATATTGGAGCGCCTGTTGGAGCTGGAGTACCTGAGGGCACTTGGGGCTGACCTATAGCAAGATTACTTAAAACGGGACGAGCATGAGGCTAGGAATACTTAACATCTGATATTTGCGAAATCAGTGCGCCTGTGGGAGCTGGGGTCCCTGTGGGCACTTGAGGCTGACCTAGAACGCACGAGGTTAGTTAAACCAATAAAGAACAAAGAAAAGAGATAAAAATACCATCGCTTATCTGTGTCACCGGATTCTGTGTCGGAACTTGCGGTTGCCCTGGCCATGTTAGAACAGTGTATACTTTAGGTCTCAAAGAAAATACCGTCTGGTGCCTCGGATATTGGTGTCGGCGCATTGGGTTGTCCCTCTGACTTCTATATCGGCGTTAATTTCGTTCCTTGACACGCTTCAAGGACGCTATTCACGACGTACCTGTGTGGCAGGCGGCGTGAGTCCACCTCTGTTTCCGCTCATGCCTATAATATAGATGGGAACACAGTGATCGGCCCACTTTCGAACATAGAGGTTGAAGAAGCCACCGGACCAGCATTGGAAGAAGATAGCCGAGCCCCCGAGGGCAAGGGAGTTATTCGCACAATACGAGAATCCGGCGGTGTAGATGGCGCCTGCTTGAGGCGGGGAGTCGAATTGGAATCTAGGTAAATATTAATTGCCATTTATGTGAAAGGCGGGTTAAGTTGAGGTGCACTTACTGGTAGTCGGAGGCGACATACCCGGTGCGGTCCGCTTGGTCCTTCAAGATTCCTCCAGAAAGAGTAAGGGTGAGAATACCAGATTGTTGACGTTTCCCAACAGCTCGCCTGGTAGAGGTCACGTTAACGGCTGTGATTTGGAACGAGCCTGGGTGGGAGTTTGAGCATTCGGAGGGTGCTGAAGCTTCAGGGGCGATGGCTGAAGTGATGGCCTGCGGCATTGGGCTCGCGAGAGCAAATGCCGCGAGAGTGAGAGCAGCGAAGTTGTGTTTCATTACTACAGAATCAGAAAATTCGTTGTTGAAATGAGATTGTGTAGGAGGGCAGGTGGAGTGGTTGACTATGGTAGGTTATGGTTGAGAAAACGAAAGAGTAGACTGATAAACGAGGTATCAACTCAGCAAGTAAAATTAGAAAGAGTAGCTGGAGAGTAACCACGACAATGGGTGTGAAGGATGAGAAATCTCGGGGGACAACTGTTCTATATAACAAACAATAGCGCATTGACTTCATTTCCTATGTCACCGCTCGATCGAGTGCTGGGAATGCGGCAAAATATGGAGAAGGACGTATGGAGAAGGACGATCGACTGTGTCCGCATCGATGAAGCGGGCAGTTCGAATGACGTTTGAGGATGGAGAAATAGGTCAGTGAATTTTCTAGTGTGTGAAGGAGCGGCTAATGGGTGATTGACAGAGCCATCATTGGCTAATTCTACAACCAACCCCTCTCCATACCCACCATCTTCTCAAGGTGTCTTCTCTCCCCCCTTGTCTCTACTTAACTCTTGCCCTTTTCCAGCCGTTTCCTGGTTCACCAAAAAGGCTAGGGCTTTAAGTGTCCCTTACGTCCATGAGCTAATTTGATTCCGAGTATCACAAGCGCAGTCATGATGAGGCAGATCCTCTCAAAGACAATGAAGGATTGCTGAACATGGAGGAACATAGCATTAACGCTGTCGAGAACTGTAACAATCGAGGAAATCGCACGCATAATAGGTTGCGTTAGCAGCCCCAATGCGGCATATTCTTTGCAGATGCTTACGCTGCGCGACAGGGAATGAAAGGACGGGTGATCGAACCTGGACTGTTGGGTGCTGTCAAGCCTAGGGGTAGTGTATGATGTACAATTGGCCGACGAAGGGGTGGAGTTAAGTGAGGCATTTCTCAATTGGGAAAGGAAAATGAATTGACGTTGAGAGCTGCTGCATCTCAATTCCCCCGCCTCTGTCGCGCTAACGCCGGATATGTGGGGAAGTGGCGGCCGTTCAGCCACCCCTTCACACCCACAAGTGGCTGCGCAAAAACAGCTCTACTTGGGACACTCAAAACAGCGGGAAGACTTGTCATCATCGGCAGATATCAGTAGCTTGCTTCTCCTTCCCTGCTTGCCATGACATCGTCGTCGACTTCCAAGACTATAGCAGTGGTATCTACGTCAGTTGAATCTCTTTTACGTTTCATCACATTGCTCCTCCGTTGCTCATCACCATTAAGGTCCCCCTTTCCTTCTGATCGCCTGCCTGTTCCAGTTGTATATGCAATCGATCATGAGAGTGCATCATTGGTTGTTAACTGATCTTGTGTTGCAGCTGTGTATTGTGCATGATCAAAAAATTCGATGATCAATCCTTTACATCATGTTCATGTCAGATAGGGTAATGAAATGTTTATCCCAAAAATCTATACAGGGTCGGCGTCATGAGCCGAACCGAGGTAGCCTGTGCTATCTGCCGAGGCATGCCTTGATGAATAGTGGTGCTTTGAACTTTCTATCACAGGCAGACAGTTACCTGAAGATTCCATCTTCACTCGTTTCTTAGAAGTCTAAGGAAGGGTTGAACACCATTGTACTATAGCTAGCTACCTTACCCTCACTGCACTACCGAACAACAGAGGCTGGCGCTGAAACATGGTTCATTACGTACTCACTAACCATAGCATGCACTACACCTTCTCAATTAATATAGAACATAATAAGGATAATTTTAGACAGAAATTTGCATTCGTTTAACGCCCTTGTTCCAGCAAGAGGATCAAGAAATAGATTCTACCCTAATCATACCACCAGCGCTTCCAACGAGGCGTAGTACTGTACGATTGGGCGATTTTGAGGCCTGTACGGGTGAGATTTTGAGTACGTTCGTACAGCAAGGAGGAGGAGAGGGAGGTGTACGTATTGTAACTGTTACAGCTCACATAATCTATACAAGTAGTACAATTTAATTAAAGTACATTGTACTCTAGTTAAAACAACTAATATTATAGGTCTCTAGAGACGCAGGATTAAGGTCTAAATAGCTATTAGATAACTAATTCTCTCTAGTAACATAAGTAGAGAGGTCTAAAAGCTTACTACTTACTACCTTATTCTGTAACTAATTCTTCTAGAGTTAAATAGCCTTAATTATTACACTTTTTAGTAAGCCTTAATTATTAGTTACTATATAACTAGCTGCACTAAAACACCTCTTGCACTTGCAGCTAGTAGCTAGAATAGTAAGAAAGTTAAGAGCAATCTTAAAAAGAATAAGATAGGCTGTTTTACCTCTAGTAAGCTACTATTATAAGAGTTCTTTACAGAGTAAGAGGTAATCTTTATAGTAATTAGCTCTTATAGAGTTATAGTAAAGCTATAGCTTATTTAACACTTTTTTACACTTATGTAAGCATTAATTTGTTATAAAAGAAAGGTTAATAAAAAAGTAGGCTTTATAATTATTATTATAATAGTTGCCACCTAGCAGCTTTTAACACCTAGGAGATAAAGGCTTATTTTTAAGGTTAGGCTTATCCTTAGCATCTAAATACTAGTTAAAGATTATTTTTATTAACCTAGTTACCTTATCTACCTAGCTCTTATAATACTGCTAGTAATCTTAAAACTAAAGTAAGCATAATTAAGAGTTAAGGATAGTAGCAACTATGTAGTATAAGACTAGAAAATTAAGAATTAGTTTACTCTAGTAAGTAGTAAGCTTTTAATAGCTAAACTTTATAGTGTTTTTAAAGTATAAGTTGCTTAGCTTATTAGCAGTAATTATTCTTATCTAATTAAAGTAAATTTAGAGGCACTAAAGCTCTGTTATAGTCCTTTATAGTAAGCTAGATAGGCTCTAGCCCTTAAGTCTCTTTATTATCTAATAAAACTTCTCTAAAAAGTCCTTAAGGCGCTTAATCTTATCTTAATTATTTTTAGTAATAAAATTTGCTAGCGCATTAAAGCTAGCACATTAAGTCTCTTTATTAGCATTAAAAGAGCCTTTTTATTACTGTTAGAAGCAACTAATTACCTCTCTAAGCTTATAACAGCATAATAGCATAAAATAAACTAAGTGCTAGCGCACTCTGCTATCACGCACTAGATTAAGCGTGCTAAACTACTAAATTAAGTCCTCCTTTGCAATATTAATTTAGAGAGTCTTAAAAAGCCTTATGCACTTATGTGATGCAAGGACGCTGTTTACAAAGTTATAGAGTTGTCTAACAACTATCTAGATTGTATAGCTAGCGCAGCAGATCTAGTGCTGTCTATTAAGCTTGTACAGCAGATTAAGCTCTTTATTAAGGCCCTTAATAAGCTTGTTGTTGTTGTTAGACATGTTATTGCTAACAAAGCAGCTAAATTTTAATGTAATACTGTACTTGTTAATAACAGCAGCTATCTTAGAGGCTTATGCACTGCTAGTATAGTTGCTGTATAAGTTTTTAAAGCTAATTAAAAGATCTTACTAAGCGTGTAAAGCATCTAGCTGTTGTTAGTTACAGAGTTCTTACAATAGTAGCCTGTGCGCGCTTACTAACAAAGTAAGCTACTACTGCAAGAAAGAAAAGGTAGTTTCTAGAACTCTATATATCTATGCTTAGCGCAATTTTTAATAGCACTATTACTAGTATTATTTAAATTTTCTTCTTTTACTGCAAAAGTGCAGCGTAGATATCCTTAAAAAGCGTAGTAGCAGAATGTAGAAAAGTAGTAAAAAGATCTATGCAATTTTAGCTAATAAGACTATAAGTTTTTAATAATATTACTTTTTTAAACAACTAATTCTACACTATAGCCTAGTTAACTAGAGCACTGCGCAGAGGACCCTCCTGCTATAGTGTATAAGATAATCCCCGCAACAAGCCTGCTACTCCTCTAGCTGCCTCCTATGGGTGCTGCAGTAGCTGTATGCTGTTAGGGAAGAGCTCTCTATTAACGTTAACCTTATGCTCCCTTATTAGGTGTTAAATAATATAGTTATAGCTATCTACTACCTTTGCAGCGCCTTAAGAACTTTACTTATAGCATTAACAGCAGAGCTAGAGGCAGATTACCTTACTTTACTTCTTTAGAAGCGTTAAATCTGCGCTATAAGCCTATACTTTTAACAGTGTATAATTACTTTATAACATAGTCTTGTTTTTTACGCAGTAACCTAACTACACTAAGAGCAACACCTGTTTTAAGTCTAATAGCTATATATTATTCTAGTTAATTATAAACTTAACTCTAGTGTTATAATTATAGTCTTTTAGGAACTACTGTAACTAATCTTTAGCCACAGACAGTGTACTATTGCAGGATAAGGCAGAAGACGCAGTGTAAAGGGCTCTTAACTTCTAAAGCCTATAAGACTGTGTAAAATAGGCAATAAAGGTATCTAATTAACTAGATAAGGCCTATAAGGTAGTAAAGCGCATAGATAGATAACTCTATAATAGAAAATAGTTAGTAATAGGCATTTTTAAGACAACAGACTGCAGATAGATAGATTAAAAGACTTAGAAAGAAATTTACGCGTCCTTATAAAACTTTTAGCTAATTAGAGCTCTAGAAACCCTCCTAAACGCTCCTGTAAGCCCACTGTTTGCTAGAGCCCTCCTACTCCTCTAAAATCGCTATACAAACTTCCTAAAAGGGTAATACAGTCCGTACTACGTACCGTACCTAGGGCATCATTAACCGTACGGTACGGCTCACAAACTCGGTACGTTCGTACTGCTCACGTGACCGTTACGGTTCACTTTGTACGGACCGTAGTACGGCCCGTTGGAAGCCCTGCATACCACCTGGTAGGTGAGAAGACGCAGTAATAATCTTATGAGCACTATATTTCAATCCGAGTGTAGAATATAACTCTATAAGCCCACATTCTTCTTGCGTCATTCCACATTTATTACTCTCTCCTATTTTGTCATCATTAGCCAAGCCTAGATTAATCCTATTTGCTCCAATTCGTTTTCATCATATCCATCACACGATATAAAAAGGTATATGAGAAGCAGCAGCACGAGAAATATACGGATAGGATTTCCAATGCCATTGAAAGTACTTGCGCGCCTCTTCGCCGAATTGGTGGTATGGATACATACACGACGAGGCTATGTTAGATTCAACACCATGCTGTTTTGAACGCCACGGGGTGTAAAAAGTTCTAAAGTAGAAATGGACTGGAAATCAAACATGGTATGCTAACGGGGACGCCTCTGAGACGGAGCCATTGGTAAAGAACAACAGCAGCCTCTAATATCAGTAAGATGGTAGAGTTACTGGTGTTGGTAATGCTGATGATGGGTTCAATTGTCAGCCTCAGAGGCTCAAGTGCAAGCGCGACAAGGAAAAGCAAGCGTCAGAAACCATCCTTGTCGACAGGATCTTGCAGGGCAAATGAAACAGAAGACTTCTAGCCCTTTACTATACCAGGATATTAGCATCGGCAAGGGAGATAAAGGCATTGAACCATAACGATGTTGCCTTTGCGCGGCAGTAGTCCGGCTAGCAAGTTGAATGTGCTTCTAACTGTCTATGGGCCATGCTTGCTTGCCATATGCAGGAGTAGATCATCTCCCGGATTCAAAATAAATAAATCCTTGTTTGATACGACGGTAGGACACAACGGACACGCGAAATGTGTGGGTGGTTGCCTTGTTATTTTGTCAATAACCAAACGTACTCGTTGCCTCCAGAGTGACTGATTTACTGTCTGGGCATCGAGGTATTGCCAGGGCAACCCAAACAGAACAGGTGACTCAGGACGGCGCAATTTTCCTCGCTCAGATTGTGTTGATATACTCGAGCACGGAGTGGAGCTGATGAAGGTAGCACCCATCCGCGCAGGGTGCCTTAGCGCCAGCACAGGGTCGGAATCGACCCTGAAGGTTGGATGGAATAGTGCTGATTTTTTGCATTTCGGTGAGAAAAATAGAGAACCCGGCCTACAATAGAAACTGGTATCCTCGTACGATCCTCTCTAAATCTAGTAAGAGGCCTGATAGATTGAATCTACTAGGATTATGTTCTCTGGTAGTAAAATATGCTAGAACCGTACAGTAAGTAGCAGGGCTCAAGTGCTTGCCAAATGCGGTTGCGGATTAGTGCGGAGGTTTATCTCCTTAGCTACGGACCCTTTTCAGAATTTTCCTTGAGATACGCTTCTAATATGTATATTTGCGCACAGTATCAGTAATACCACCCCAATGTGAAGAAAGCCCCTTGCAAACATGTAGGGTACATTCACACCCGGTATAGAACACTAACAGAGGGATATTTGAGCAGTTAAATCTCTTGGTGACATTCGATAGAACTCCAGTAGAATACAAGTGTCTGTCCCAAATTGCCACTGGCATATTCCATGTGTGATATTAAATGAAGTTCAGGTTCTGAGATAGCGTATCTAGGTAGATACTTAAGAAGGGCTTACTCCCGTAGAGCGGCTTCATTAAGGCATGTGTGTGCGTCCTTCAGCGATGGGCAGGGTTCCATAGTTCATCTCCGAGCGCATCATACTGCCATCTACCAGCATGGCAATCCATGCCAGCCACACCAGATCTAGCGCTTCAAAAACCCTTCGAAAACCTGTTGGAACTTAGACATTTCATCAAATCATAATCCAGATGTTAGCATATTGTTAGAAATTCATGCTCCGCCACTATCTGTCTCAGATTTTCTTTTCCCACCACGCATGTTGGATACCTTGTGCCATATGACGTCATTCTTCGCACAACTTAAATACACCCTTTCAGCCCACGTTGACTATCAAACAAGATCCAACTTCAAGCTCTCATACCTTCTGTCTTAGAGCACTACGAGACCTCACTTCCGCCAATCCAGAAACCCTCACAACCTATACAAACAAGCAACCATGCCCGTCGGTCAGCAAGAATCCGGTGTCACCTCCGGCGTCAAGTTCGTGACTTCAACCGTTGGAAACACCGTTGGAGGACTCACAAATACAGTCGGAGGGGTAGTTGGTGCACTTGGGCGAGGTGTCGGGGAGACACTTGAAGGTGCTACAGGTAGCGCGGGCAGACCTGTTGCCCGAGGCGTTGCGGACGCAACTACGAGCGTCGAAGATGGAGCGAACAAGATCGCTGGAGGAGTGAAGAGGGCTGGTGAGGGAAAATAGGCCAGGGTGCAAAGAATGAGGTGATGAAGATGGAATGTGGCAACTCGTGCTGGGGGGGGGGGGGGGGGGTCTGTTTTGAAAATTAAGAACTTTTGCAAATGAAATATATCTCCATCTCCACAGAATTTAACCGATCGGGACGTATTTTGCCGTAAAGTGTATTCTAAACATTTGCTTCCGACGTGGTAAACTCCTTTAAACTAACTCTACTTATAACTACTGGCAGTGAACTTGACAGTGAACTTTGATTGCCACGGCATAGAACATTGGTAGTTTTGAAAGTGAAAGGTCCGGCCCCTACCTCACTCCTCCAATGGAAACACACATTGTAATGCCCAACCCGAGGGCTATCATTCATTTAAGTACCTTAACAAATCACTACCTTCGCTTACCCATTGCTCCTCTCCCGAACCTAAAAGAGTACCGTCTATTACCAGCAACTCTAGGCAGTTTCAAAATTAGTCATCTGAGTCCCCCGAACTTTTGCTGTATTAATGTAGAATGGGATGGATAACTCAAGATTCTACTAACGCTCCTTTCTCGAAGAAAGCTGAACTTCATCAGGTTTCCAGCACTAGTTTGCCGGTTGGGTTCGTGGTTGATGATAAATAAATTCTTGAAGGCTACAACGAGTTTCTTATTGCTTCCAGATCGTTCCTTGTTTGATTGAGATTTCAGTAGCCATCCGCAAAATGTCGGGATCTGAGAATTGATATGCGTTCATATCCTATATGAAGCTTCTGTAAACTCCCCCTCCCTGGCTTTTTCCTTCTAGTAAGATCCAAAACCTGTTGTTGAAGAACTCCTAGTGTCTCTGTAGATACGCTGAGCGATTCAGGAGAATTAATAGCGTGTCTTACCACCTGATGCAACATCAGGAAGTCCCGAAACCCCGAGTCCGACGTGAGCGATCCTATAGACTCTACTATTACCATGAGGGATTTCTCTAATGCGCTAATCAGTCACCTTCTCGATTCTACACACAATGTCTCGTGCAGACTACATAGGTGAATCTTGCATGGCGACAATGCCTCTACAACCAGCAAATACAACAAGCAAGTTTTGAAGACAGTATGATCGGTTACATTTATGACAAGCAGTGTGTCCAACCGTTAGTTACGGAGCCTTTTGGAGGTTGTATAGTACAGTTACGGAAGAGTCGGCTGTTACTAACTAACTGTACGGAGGAGATGACGTTGGTGTACGGTTCGGATACAGTAACTGAAGTATTATGAAGTAATTGCGCTAAAGCTAAAGACTATACCTAATTAGGAAGTTATGATACCCCTTGTAAGATCTACAGTTATTAATCTTACTAGTAACAGCAATGTTATGTAACTAATTCCTCTATTATTAACACTAATAGTTAATTCCTCCCTATTGTAATAGTCTTTTTAGCCTGTAAGAAGCACCACTCGCACTTACATAAGGTTGCTAGGATTAATAGGAAATTAAGGGCAATATTAATCTTAAAGGCGATTCTAACGTTATAGCGGGCATTATTTAGGTGCTCCTTAGCCTGGGTATCTTGCATATGCTTTAAAGGAGTTGCTTCACGCAAGGACGGCCTAGATGGGCCAGGTGAGGTCATGCAGGCCTTCTCTAAGCGTTGGGATGAGGCAGCATGATATATCTAGGTGGCAGAACAGCTGGATGAGGCATGTGAGGATAAGGCTTGTAAGGATAAGGCCCGCAAGGATAGGGCCTGTGAGGTGGTAACACGCTAAGATAACTGCGTTATTAATTAGGATAGGAATTAGGACATTATAATAGGCAAAAGAATAAGGTAGATAGCATAGTTGCTAAATTTATTAGAAGATTGCTAACAAAACACGCACTAACAGCCTTCTCCGCATTAATCTCTAAACACAAGCCCCCTAGCCCTCAGCAACCTGCCTTCAACCGCCTAAAACTACCAAAAATCCTATATAACTACCGTAAACGGTTAGTACAGCAGCCTTATGTATAGTACAGTATACTGAGTAGATGCCCTGTACGTACGTACGTGACCAAAATCGGTGTACTGCAGTACTGTACTATTAGGTGTACTAACGGTTGGACACACTGATGACAAGGTGCTTTAAAAAACATCCTGAAATAAAGATAATATCCTAATGTAGGGAAAACAGTTAGCTGGGGTTCTAGCACCAACAGAAGGTTATTTCGTGATGTATGTAGGTTGAGTTAGTGCCTTAGTAGCCCGTTTTATTAAGACGCAGAGAACTGTGCCTGGGAGAAAAATTGTTAGCGGTTCGGCTTCAGGAACGTCGAGTATTCACTATAAGATTGAAGGCGACCATCCTGATCAAAAGATCTTTCAAAGCTGAAGAAGATATTTGAGCCCCAATACACATCCGAGAGCATATACTTTGGCATAGAGAAGTTTTGAGAGAGTTCTGGTGCTAGTTGTTTGCTGGACAAGAAGGCATTTTCCTCTACCAACGGTTGAAGCGATTAGTGCTAAACGAACGACCTCCAATTTGGCAAAAGATACAACTATTGAAGCGTTAGAGCACTAGGATCCCAGCTGAGTTTTTAGATGGGCTAAAATGAACGATGAAAATTTGCTGTACATCTAGACACTAGTTAAGATGTTTAGTATCTTATAGCCAGCCTCTTGAGGTTATGTATGCTTGAAATTATAATACGTGTAGAGCTCGGAGCTTAGACTTAGAAATGAAATATAGTGACTAAATCAGAAAAATGTAGAAGAGGATGCTGGACGAAGTGTTTGTAAGTGATGTTGGTAGTTGTAACCTTGCAGGAACACTAGTTATGAGAGGAGTCATGTATTGTGGACCGAGGGTCGGAGGACATATATGATTTATATTGTATTGATGGTCACTAAGCTTAAGGTTGATTGGGCAACCCATCGTAGAGCCCTCCGGCTTACAGTAGTTTACTGGAGAGTGTGGCTGGTCTAACATAGATTGGTTGCCGCCCAGCCCAGCTCAAGACTCGACGTAGATTCAGATATTAGAAGAATCAAAGTGCCCCCAGGCTACTTCTGCCCGTGACCCACTTCTTGCAGCCTTCCACCGCTTACTCCTCATATGTTTCGAGCAGGTGGGCAGCCACTGCGCACCATGAGGCTGAGCGGCAGCAAATGTCGTTGCTAGCGCTGTCAGCGCTTTTTGTAAGTCTGTGACCTTACACAATGCGCTAGATTTGTCCCTAAAACAACCCCTCCGCCCTTGGACGGCCATCGTAACGGCTCCGAATGCCATGCCGACTGCGCCGCGAAGCATACACGATAGGATGGATATGCGCCCTCCCGGTTGAGCTGGCTGAGGCGCAAGAAATGCTCGACGAAGTGCACGATGACTATGAGCACGACCTCAGCGACAACGATAAGAACCTGTATGCCCTAGGCTTGGTAGGAGGACAACCACATGGTAATTTTATGCATTCCGGCTGGCCGGATTGGTGATAACAGTAAGGCCCAAGTTAGATATCACTGCGGCTATGAAGAAAATGAGAGACTACAGCTATTATGCTGTTCATATTAAAGAAAAAGTCTAAGCTGCTGTTCTCTTACGAAAGCTACCTTTATGCATTCCCGTTGTCTTCGCTGTATTATGGCCACAAACTAAAAATGTCTTGTTAACTGCACAATTCTTTATTAACGTCCATGCCTATGTCGCGAGCCACCCCACAACGCGAGCCGCATTTCTGAATTTGACCTCTTAGAAGTCTACCTTGCAAGTCAGCAAAGACATCGTCCTTATCTCACTATTTTTTAACCTTTTCTCTACCAGGATACTAGTGCGCGAAGAGAATTTTGAAGTTTTGCTCACACTGTTGATCTTTTTATTCACTTCGTTATTCACTCCTTTGCTTAACCACCCTTGCTATATCGCAATTAGAGGGGTGTCTCTTATAACCAGAATACTAGGGAGAAGGCACTGTTATAGAAGAATATAGTTTTAAGCTTAGAAAGCCATTTCAGCCTAGCAATATAGATTCCGAGAGTTTCTCTGTGTAGATCAGAGGGTGGGTTCAAAGCCTTGTGACGCAACGTAATCCTTGGCAGAGTTTAGCAAGAGGCCCTTGTTAGTATTAAAATGTATTATATCATAGGCGACCAAGCTCTGAAGTTAGCTGTGGCGCATAGCCGTAGAATTCTAGAAGTGTCTATGACCACGTGCCGTTTCTATTTTGCAACGTGTTCTCTTGTTGTGGCCTGGAAGCTGGCGCTCAGTCGTCGTATCCGTCGCCGTGTCACGTCGCCAACACTCAATCACCGTAACAAATTAACATGGACAGAGCCAGCCAGGCGCTGGCATTAGGTGTTCTTCCCGGCGTGTCAAAATCGTTCTGGGCTTTAGCAGATTGTCACGGTGTGCCTCGCACGACTCTTCAGCATTGTAACCGCAAAACGCCAGTCAATTAAAGAGAAGGCGCAGAGCCAACAACATCTCTATCTATGGGAAGAGAAAGCCCTTGCTAAGTTTATAGCACATTAAGGTGCTCTTGGGCGCCCTGTCTAGATAAAATATATAGGTTTGATAGCCTTTAGTCTCGCCCGCCGACGGACGCCAGCGAACAGACTAAGCAAACCTCCTGGGAAGAACTAGCCCCAGCTCTTCTACAAGCGCCACCTAGATCTTAAAGCGACTAAAGCTGGGGCGCTAGACTAGAACTGTTATAATATCTACAACAAGGTCACACACTGGTATAAGGTTATTAGAAAGGTTCTGCTGGACCCTGCCGTTCTGCAGGAGAATGTCTATAACATAGACAAGACTAGTGTTATGCTTTCTAAACTGAACTCCGTCAAGGTCCTTGTTCACAGGGATGATCAGCGAGGCTATAGAGGTGCGCGCGTTAAGCGAACAACGGTCACTGCTATTAAATGCGTGAGTGCTAACAGTAGGCATTTAAACCCTATAATAATCTAGCCTGCATCCACTCATTAATCTAACTAGAGCACGCACCCCACTCCTGGATGGCATTATGCATTCTCAGACAGCGGTTACACTAACTTATATCTTAGCTTGCAGTGGCTCAAGCCTGTGTTTAACCCCTAGACTAAAGAGCGGGCTAACTAGAAACCACGCGTACTAATATGTGACGGCTTTAGGACGCATGAGACCCTAGAGATCTTAGAGTTTTGTTTTATAAACAGCATTATCCTATGCTGTATCCCCTCTCACACCTCCTAGAAAACTTCAGCCCTGCGACATCTTAGTATTCAGCCCGCTAAAGGTAGCCTACCGCGAACAGGTTAAGCGGCTGGAGCAAGGATGTGTAGGAACAATAGGGAAGGAGCATTTCACCTATCTATATAGCCCTGCAAGGGATCAAGCGTTTACGTCTAGGAACATACAGGCAGGATGGGCAAAGGCCGGCCTTTTCCCCTTTAACCTAGACAAGGTACTCAGTGATATACTAAAACCGCTTGCTAGACTAACAATCCTAGAAACTAATAAGGCAGAGAGAGGTTCTTGTATGCAAGACTAAGTACCGCAAACGCCTGTGACGCTAATCACAGCAGATGCTGTTGCCTTGCTACATAATCTAATTAAACAGGATGCCTGTGTGGTTAATAAGACAAGTAGACAGCGCTTGCAGAGGCGCATACAGAAGCTCACTAATGCCGCCTAACTTTCCTTTGCTAAACAAGCCCTCCTTAAGGAACAGAATTAGTTCTTAACTAAAATAAATAACAAAGCTAAAGTTTACTAATTAACTAAGGTAAAGATCTTAGCAACTAGGACAGTAAAAGTAGTAAGCTACAAAGACCTTATTAAGGCACAAGTGGAGCGTGCTATAAAAGACGCTAAGAAAGAGGCTAAAAAGGTTGTAAACAAGGCAAAGAAAGTTGCAAGGGCTGCGCAAGTGGCTAAAGCCACTGTAGGCAAGAAGAAACGTGGTCGGAAGCGGAAGAGCGATGCATTAGAGGCGGATCCGCCAGAGCCAAGGCCCAGGGCGGAGCGGAGAAGCGAAGG